CCTTAGAAATACAGAGATATCAGTCACCACATAAGATTTTCATACCATAAAACTTGAGATAACCTAAAAGTTATAAGAAGAATTGTTTACAAGGAGTGATAGTGGTGGTGGTGGTATGGTGATAGGTGAACTCTGCTTTAAAACTAACACACACAAGGAAAAGACAAAAAAAATCCTCAAGTTCTCTTCCTGTTTTAAGGCATCAATATGGTTGCTCCTATCCATTGATTTCGTTAGGTAGTAAAAATTCTATTTATAGGTACTCTCTTAACAGAGACCGTATATTTTGTGAAGAAATACAACTATGTATGTCTATAAGGAAAAGGTACTTTTACTTATATTGGTATGTATTGGGGGACTTCCAGTTTTACTGATTTGTGTCTTTAGCATAATTTCTTTAGAAAGCATTAGAAAGAACAGCTGACTAATTTGCTTTGGGATGGTTAAGGCAGGAAAAGTACAAGAGACACAGACATACACAGCTGTTTTATTTTGTCTTCCTTTGAAAAGGACAATTCAGATTAAACTAAGATTCTATCTACAATTAATTAAGCCAAAGGGGGATATTCGAATAGGCTGTAAGAAGTTCGTGTTCTAATGCCCATTTTTGTCTAGTTCCTTTTCCCAAGAGGAAGTAAAATAGACCCATTATGTCAATCTGGGTTTTCACCCTGACTGTAGGTTCCTGAGTATACGTCTATCCAGCCCAAAATGGTATCCTCTGATTTCCTTTCCAAGAAAGCCTTTGCCCTCCTTCCCTAGCTCATTCTCTGGTGTTTTAGTCTTTTGCTTCCCTCTCTCATTATCCTTGCTCCTCTTTCTCTCCTTTCACCTCACTAGACAAAAAACCTTATCTATATAAAACTTGGCTTAGAAGGGAAGATCCAAAGGAGAGCACAGAGGATAAAGGGTAAGTTAAGAAACATATGCTATTGTTTGAAGGGTCTACTAGAGAGACATGAGACTTGGCAGTGCTCTGAGAGTCAGGGAAGCTACTACTAGGAAGACCTGTGAATAGGGTTTGGTTGGGAAAGGGGGGAGTTCTGAGTACAGCTCTGGAGAAGCCCCCCTTTTCTCATGGAGGTTGATGAGCACCATAAAACCACAGCTGAAAGGAAAAAGAAAACTCCACCACTGGCCTTTTTCCGAGCGTGGCCGCCTTCCGCTCGGCTCAGTGCCCGCCACATGCCCAGGAGTGCGTCTGGATTCTTGAGGGCCTCCCTTCGCAGGTGACAGTGCTTACGCTATACTGTAAGAGAGCCAGAAAAGTGCCCATGAGAACCAGAAAGCAAACTTCCAGCCAGCAGGAACATCTCTCTAAGCATCTAAGACGGGGGAATCAACACTGATACCTGGGCAGCATTTGAATGCCAGGAAAAGTGAGGGAGAGATAATTCCCCCCTCCCCAGTTCAATATAATGGTGATGGAAGGGGGAAAAAATGTATTTTATGTGATGTATCTGCTAGGAGCAAGACAGAAAAGACTAAGTCAAAGACAAATGGTGGGGGAAAATGTTCTCACTTCTAATAGACAAAAAAAGAAATAACTAAGAAGAAAATGACCTAGGGTCTAAATTTGGTTACATAAGAAAGTCTGCTATGCTGGCCTGGAGAATTAGAGCTTATGAATGAAAGCAACTCATTCTACCATTTGGGTGATGCTGCTCTTAGAGGAAAACTGAGAAAGAAGGAAAAGAAGGCAAAACTTCATTCTAAGATACAAAAAAGTAAAGCATAAATACACCAAAAATAAAGAGCTGACATTCTCAAAAGGCACAATCTTATCATAAGTCAGTCAGACAAAATAGAAAAGCACAGTAGAGAACATTAGACTTTGATGAAAGAGATCTTCAGCAGTTTACAACCTTTCTAATCTTTTTAATTACTGTGTTTATAACATGCTTTATATGACTGCGTATTAAATAAAACAAGAATTAGAAGAATGTTCTAACAGATCAAAAGACTTTTATTTTCTATTCTGCTGAAGCAAAACTAAATTCCTCCAAACTCTGTTAATCAAACTCAAAATCTTGATCTTCCTAAGAAAAAAAGAAAGGGTACCAACTATCTGTTGGAATACTGTAGTAACAGAAGAACTTTCAAACTTTCAATATGCTTCTCAAATCAGGAGCAGAATGACTTTGGGCTCCAGCAACCTCAACGCTGTTTTCTAGGATAAATGCTTCTTAAAATCTCATCTACCCAAGAATCTGGTTGGAGCATGTCAACCTCTCTTGTCTCTCCATTCAATAGAGGGTTAACAAATGACTTGTGCCCTTTCCCTAAAAGTTAGGGCACTTAAGCTTCCACTTAAGCTCCAAGACTAGGGGTCATCACCTGACAATCAAGGAAGGTGGCACACCTATTTGTCAAGGGGAGCAAACTGGTTAATCTTAAAGATCAACTGGGACCAGTCTCCTGTGTGAGGCAACAATAAGTGGCTCACAAAGACCATGTGGTGATTGAGGGGACAGAGGGACTAGATACAACCAGATTTGGTTGTCACTTGATGTTGGCACCGAAAAGATCAAAAGATTACCAGAATGCAAATAATAGTAGATACCAGCTCTCAGATTTCTCATTAACTTCAAGTTTTAAGGAAATGTATTTCATAGGCCCAGAAAACAAGGTTTCTTCCACTAGGACAGAACTGAAATGTGAAGCAACTCCAAAGGAGTGGAAAATGATCTTGTTCATTCATTTGCAAGAATGGCTCCTGCCTTGGCCTACAGGATGTTCTAATATAATAGCAGGAGCATCCTTCTCCCAGTTCATCAGGACAGATGGTTGGCTACACCTGGGAAGCCAGGTTCTCTATTTTCATGTAAAGGAAGGCAATGGCTAGCAGAAAAGAGACTAGTGACCATGTTAAGGAAACATTTGAGATTCAGACAGAATACAAGACAGGAGGCACCCTGGACCCAATGGCAAAAAATAACTTGTTAAAGGCAGTAAGAAGAGGAAGGGAGAGAAGCAAGGTACTATATCTGAGGAATGGATCACCGCCCTCCACCTAAAAATAGGCTACTGAAAGGGGTGAATTTTTATAGTGTTTAAATAAACATAAGGCATTGGACTGATTTTAAAAACACAAAGAGCCTCCAAAGGGTCCAAAGCACTTCAATCAACTCCAGGGACTTGGTCCAACCCTGTACATCACATCCTAACCCTGTGAGTCATATGCCTTAGTACTAGACCACTGCTATCAGGTCACTGTATTATAGCCGTTTCATGTTGCACAGTATGCCCAACGGCACATTACCAGTATGTTAAGGTGTGTGTGTTTCACTCTATCCCCGTCAGTGGCCTAAATCAGACGCAAAGTTCCACAATTCTGTTTCAGTTTTCAAGACCCCAAAAGATGAAGAAAGTGAGACTAGAATTTCAAAAAGATCTCAAGAAATTTATACAGTCCTAGGCTTTGCCTAGATGAGACCATGGCACTGGCTAGAGAAGGGATCAGAGCCCAAGTGGAGCTGTTACTGGATAGTTAAAACATGCACCAGGGTTCACCTTTTGGAGGAAGGTGCCAGACATACATTTGGGACACTAGGAACACTGGCTATCATTCAGGAAAGGCATCAGACCCTCGATTTTATTCAAGTAGTAACTTGAACGTGATGAGGTTCCTTTGCTTTGTCACTCTTCCTCCTTCATATCTAAAGGAGGCAGAGACAATGTGAATTAAAAAATTTTGCTGAGAAGACTATAATAACTCCAATCAATCTATGCATGGTTCTCAAACAGCATTCTCCCAACCAGCAGTCGCTCCTATTGTAGGGTCTGACATTTTATAGAACAATGACAATTACAATTAGGTCTTCAAAATGGTCCTTAACCGGTTATATCCCAAACCTCAACATATTTCCAACAGACGGAAATTCATTTTCAATAGCTCTCTCATTTGGTGAGGGAAAATGAATGGGAGACTTTTCTGAAGTTCTTTTCAGTTTTCAGTAAAAATTCCTAAACTCGGTAGGAGAGCGAACTCAAGGTTTTGAGTGTGACCAGTCAGACCCTGGACAATCTCCCATATCTCGGAAGAGGTCTTTAAGAGGTGGCTGAGCTGAGAGACAATCTAAGGATTTGCAGTATTTCCAGTGAAGCCCTAAGAGACCAGATATATTCCTTACATAAAGACCAAGAAGATTTTTCCCTCCTCCTGTTTTAGGATCAAATTGCTCTTCCTAAAGTGGTTACACTGGGCCTGGAGAAAGGCCCACTCAGCAGGAAATTGACAATCTCAAAGCGATAGTTTATTATTATTTCTCCATCACTTTAAAGCATATCTTAGGAGTACCGAAACAAAGGGTCAAAGACAAAGGATGATCAGTTCCTCCAAATAGAAATGCACACAGGGGTATTTAATAAGTGCACATTGTTTTGAAAACTAAAGGGAGCTATGGTCCGGAAGGTGTATCCGCTGCACATGTACTGAATTTGATTTCTGGGCAAACGTTAAGAGGTAAAACGACCTGTTAGGTTTGAAACTCGGAGGCAGAAACTTGTTTGGTATCTACTAAGCTTTGATAGCCGCGCTCTCAAGGCTCTGCCCTCTCACCACTTCTAATAACTCCCCTTACTCCTATTCCAGTACAACCCAGCTGGCCAAGAGGACAGCAAAAGACGGTGGTTCTGAATTCAAAAAATACTTCTCAGACCGCGCGACTTCCTCCGAAGCAGCACGTCTAGCTCCATCTCGGTCCTCTGCAGATCCCAGGCTCCATCGAGCTGTTCCAGTCTCCACCCTCCCCCTCCCCTCCGAGGCTCCACCTCTCCCGACCCTCTCCTGCTGGCGCGCCTCCCCTCACCGGGACTTTCACAGCCACCGGGGACATCGTCCTCTCGCTTCCTACCCCTCTTCTGCCTGCTGGGCCTCGGCGCCCAGATCTCTACTGGCTCAGCCTCCCCTGGTCCCCAGCCGGTCCGGAGCTTCGGTCAGCGGACAGTACGGCCGGCCCAGGTCCGACCCATCCTCGTGACGGTCCCGCCTCACTCACCCTCTGTCACCTCGAGCACCTTAATCTGTTCCTCCGCAGCCGCTCGCACCTCTTGCACTGGGGATAGGATCCCGGTGAGCGTATCCACCAACGCCTCCTTCAGACCTTGTGCCACCGGACCCGGCAGCCCGGAGGCCGCACCAGCCGCCGCCGCTGCCGCCATCTTTCTTCCCTTCAGCCCGCCAGCCCCGCGGCAGGGACCCGCCACTGAGTGACGGCTCCCGCGCGCGGCCAATCCGCGAAGCCGCGCATGCGCACCAGAGTCGGGCGGGAGCTGGAAGGGGGCGGGGAATGGGTCCGAGCCTCCAGAGACAGCGCCTCCTGCCGCATGGATAAGTGTCCCTTTCCCTGAAAGAATCGCTTCGCTTTTTTTGTGAAAATTGAGCTCCAGAGAGGTTAGGGGGCTTTCCTAAAGTGGAACAGCAAGTTAGTAAACTCACTTGGAGCAAAGGCTATGATATAGGATTTTAGACTCATGGATCTTTCAGGTATAAGATACAATGTGTGAAAGGATGTGAGATGGGAATGGGTGTAGCGGGTTTTGAGGAGGGTTCTGGGTGGGCAATAGCTATTTTAAACCAGCCGTTTTCGCCCCCTCAAACCTGAAGAAAAATAAAAAATCCAACAACCCATTGGCTCAAGTGAGTCTCTTCATCTCAGTCTCAAGAATTCAAAGGTAGGGGGAAAAGAAACTGAAGTGGACTGGGCAGCGGGGAGCGGTCACGTACAAAAAACCCAGCCCCTTGGTTTTCCAGCCTAGCGGAGCCCAACTTCAAAACTGGAATGTCTGGCCAGGAGAGGGCACCTGCGTGGGAAATGGTATTTGTTTCCTCCAGAGTAAGTACTTGAATGACTATTTGAGAATGAATCCTATTTGTTGAGAATGTGTAATTTTTTCCCCCCAGAGAAATTATGGCTGGGGGTTTAAGGAATGAAAGAGCAAGAGTAGTGTAATAGGATATCCCAGGGCTGGTCATAGGAAATGTCTGAAAGAATAGAAATAAATCTAAATACTGGAGCAAGTGGAGAGAATTAGCGAGAAGAGTTAAGAATGCAGGGCAGAATGTAAATAAATACATTGCAAATTTTAAACAATCAGGGCAGGTTGGAGAGCATGTAGCGTCAGAAGGATGAGAATGACCTGTTATTGGGAGTGAGAAGGTCTAGAGCAAAGAGAAACAGGTAATTTTTAGTAAGCTGTTAAGGTTGAGTGCCTTAAAATGGTTTCTAGGAACTCTGACTCTCATTCCCGAGGGGCAGAGGAAACCAGATGGCAATCTGTCACCTAGTTCTAAGACTATGGCTGCTAAATTGATAGTGATCTAGGGTTGTCAGTTTGTCTGAGTATTCTTCCTAAAGACTGACTCCTTGATTTGAGGATAGCTCTAAAGACATTTGTCACCTCACATGTTAGAGGACAAGTGGGTTGTGTTACCACAATTTCATAGGGAAAAGATTGCTTCCCGGACCTTGAAATTCCATAGTAGGGAGTTGGAGGACTTCTTTTCCTTCTTTCCTTGCTCCATTAGAACTGCTTGTTTTCTCATAGAGGTGAATTCACCTTTACCCCTGGAAGGAAACTTAGCAAAAGTCCAGAGGGTGGTAGATTTTCACACATTGTGGCAGTGGATGGAGGACTCAAGAACCCTGTATTTTGGGCTGGTGAAAGATGCTATGTCCAGAGTGTGCAAATAGGAACCACATTCACCCCTTCCCCAACCAAAAGGGTCCAGAACTCCTGCTTAGGATTTGAGGATCAAACATTTCCAGGCAGATGAAGTTTACCTGTTGGTTAGGCAAATGACCACTAGTAGTCTCACCTTGCAGATCAAGGAATGGGCCACAAGATAAATGGAGACAGAAACCAGACAGAGAGGGAACTAGAGAGAACCGGTGGACAATACAGGAGATAACTTTATTGAAACGCAAATGGCATGGAACAGATGAATCTTGCTGGGAGGAGACAAGCCTTATGGACAGAGGAACCCCATGAGAGGGGCCTCTGGCAGTGATGGAAGAAGGCCTCTTCAGCTGGCCTGGCATGGATTTGATTTTCAACCAATTTGTTTCTTAAAACGAATTACTGAGCGAGCAGCCCAGCTCTCTTCATGATTGTTACCGCAACTATATACAACGGTTTGCTTTCCAGATTCAAATTTGTTTTCTCTACACTAGATATAAAAGGGGGTTAGATCAAAAAAGAGGCGAGGGTCAAATGAGAAAAAACACAAATACACAGACACACACATATCCTGGTTTGGGGCTTTATGTCCAATAAATTAAAAAACAACAACAACAAAAAACCTGTTGCAAAAATTCCTGCCCACTTTCCACCTGGGGGTCGGCATGCATTCGAGAAACAGACTCCCATCACATAAACAGTGCTGCCTAAAACAGGATGGGGGTGAAATCTAGTAGGGGTTGGAATTCATTTAATAAAAAAAAAAAAGATTGTTCTGTTAAAAAAGAAAAACAAACAAAAGCCAACAACAGTAACAAAAACATCAAGAAGAGGGTGGCTACGGACAGCAGTAGCCAGACACTGGCTGGGATATGGGAGCTCTTGGCTTATTATCCAACACCTTCATCCTCTAAGGAATGGCAGGGAGGCAGGAAGACCCCACAGGAGATGATCAGAGGCCCATCATCAGCCTTTTGGGGACTGAGGGGGTGATTTTAGTCCAAGAGTTTTACACTTGCCTTCTTCCAGCCTTAGTTCTTTCTCCAGACCCTTGGCTCTAAATTTCAAGAGGCCTAGTACTAGTACGTTTCTTTGTCCTGTGTCCATAAGCTCCCTCTCAGGGAAACCTGACAGACTTGAGACAGAACCAGTTGTAAACAGCCTTGTCTACCCTATGGCCCCATCAGCCAGCCTGTGAATCTGGAAAGATAAGAAGCTCCTTTCAGAGTTGTGTGTGTGTGTGTGTTTAAGATTTTATTCCATCACCGTGACTGAGTAGTTCTGTACCCAAAGACTGGTGTGGGGAAGGAAAGGATGCGCCCTGGGACTTAGGTGCCCCAGTCCCACATCTTCATTGTGCTTCAGTCTCTCCTGTGAGCCGAGCAGAGCATGGAAAAGGTGTCTTCCTGGGGTCCGGGAGCCCTCCAGCTGCCTTGGGGTAAGGAGGTTCTGGCCAGGTTGTCAGACCCAGCAGTGCCTTTAAAACTCAACTAAACGAGGGGGCATGTTGCTAAGAGAACAAGTTGCCATGGAAATACAAATGAGATTTTCTGCCTTTTCTTATCCTATTATATAATCAGAAAAAGGCTCACTGTAGACACAAATAATCTAGCAGAAGAGCAATCTGTCTCTTCAGAGACCTCTGACTGCTGTTTTTCTGCTACAGCCCAGTAGTCTCCCAGGTGAAAACTTCAGAGCCATATTTTTCTCTGAAGATTGTGTTCAGCTAGAAGAGAGGCCAACGTTACCCCTCATGTCTACCCAAAGGCACACGTACCTTTTCTTCCTGTGTTAAATAAAAGGAAAGACAGAAGCATAAAGCACAACAAAGGTGAGTTTGAAATTAATGTTAAAGTCTGAATTATAACCTGTGACCTTCTTATTTTCAGTCCTAGAGCCTCTCAGTGTCGGGACTCTGCTACTTGGCTTTCCCTTTTTCCAAAACGGTTTGTTAAAAAAAAAATTGCTGGGCCCTCACCCTTGTTTCTGATGCAGTAGGTCTGAGATGAGGGATGGGCCCTGAGAATTTCATTTTTAACAAGTTCCCAGATGCTTGCTGCTGCTGGTCTGAAAACAGGTTGAAAACCACTATTTTAAGAAATGAAAGAGTTGAATCAAGAAACCAAGGGTTCGCTTACTTCCCTGACCACTCTTGTCACAGAAGATTCTCCATGGCATAATCATTCAGAAAAGTAGCCAAGGGGCAGCTGGCTGGCTCAGTTGGTTAAGTGTCAGACTTCGGCTGGGTCACGATCTCCCAGTTCTTGAGTTCAAACCCTGCTTTGGGCTCTCTGCTGTCAGCGCAGAGCCCGCTTTGGATCCCCTGTTCCCCCTCTCTCTCTACCCCTTTCCTGCTCATGCTCCCTCTCTCTCCAAAATAAACATTAAAAAGAAGAAAAATAGCCGAAACATCAAACAGGGAGGACCCAGTACACACAGGTTTAATTTTCAGCTGTAATGGTCTCTGTGCAGCTTCTGTTGCTGTCCCCGTCTTCCAGTTTATTCTGCTTGCCAGGGTCCACGGCCGGCAGTGCTTGCTTCCAGGGCTAGGCTGAGCACACACATACACATGGATCGTCAGCAGTGGGGAGAGCCAAGTTGGCCCCATACGTCCCTGATCAGGTTGACTGAGGACTCATGAATATATAAAGCGGATTCAAGTATAAAGGGCAGTATCTTCAGGTGTTGGCCTTTTGGGAACACAGGGTCCCTAGGACTGTTTTATTACTTATGGCCTCTTCAGTGGAGCCATAACTCGTTAGTAGTTACCAGTCATAGAAAGAATGAACCAGCATTAAATCAGTCTATCCATCAGTAAACCCTCTGGGAAAACACATTTCACCCCATTTGTGGGGTTGACTCATTATAGTCTACTTACTGGCTTCAGCTTAGCTAAGGCCCAGGAAGAAGAAAAAATGGTTATGATGAGGAGTTACATTTGGCGATCTGGATTAGTTAGTACTTGAACCCTATGGGAAATGTGTGATTAGGACAAGAGCAGCTTCCTTTCCCAAACACCCTGGCAATGAAGAAGCCAGAGAGCCTCTTGTAGGTCTCCTGATGCTGCCTTGTAGGGCCAAGTCTCACTCGGTCTGGCAAATATTGCCTATAAGCAGACTTTCTGTATCTAGGTGTCATCTCAAGCGATGATTTGAGGTGTTTGTGAGGAAGAGCAGACTGTTCTCTTCCCACTCTTTTGTAATACTACAGGAACTAGGTACATCCGAGGCTAAAAGGGGGTGTCCCTCTGAATAGTGTGACGCTGGTCTCAGGGAGTCAGAAGTGAAGACATGGGGAGGTTAGGTCCATTGGGAATCTTGCAAACCAGGAAAACCAAAAAGCCAGAAATGAAATGAAAAAAAAAAAAAAGTCACTATTTTGTCTGAAATCCTTAAGGAGTATGAACAGATTTGTCAGAGGGCTGGTAATTTAAAACCAAATGTAGCAAGGTAGTCAATAAGGACTTCACTGCAGGATTTGTCCAGGGACAGCAAATCTTTCTTCCTTGCTAGCCTCTAGCTTCCCAATGGTTAGACTACATGAAAAAGACGTTGGTATAAGGATTCACACAAAGACAGAGATAAGCACCGTAGAGCTGCCACAAAGCATAGATTTTTTAAAAAATATTCTGACGCCTCAGAAGATAGGAAACAGCAATGGCAAACTGCTCTTGTGAGAGAGAGAGAGAGAGAGAGAGAGAGAGAGAGATGGAAGGGGAGAGAGAGACGCACACACAGACATCAGGTCCCATATTAGCCTCCAATTACCTGGTATTTTATTTTTAATGCCTAGGCAGGGATTGAGAAACACATACACTGGACAAAATGTGTTGTTGGTTGTCTTCATCCAGAAATGAGAGGGACTCTTCTCAGGAACCTCTCCTGCAGTTGTGGCTCTCCTCAGAAGCTGATTTTGGGTATTGAACCATGTCCTCTGCTAGCCCACTTTGGTGAGGAATGGAGTTGAGGGTCTGGAGAGGAAAGGGAGAGCACACATCCCAGTCCTAGACAGGCTGGGTTCCTCTGCAGGTGCCTGCGGGCTGAGAACTTAGCTGTGGGACCCAGGTTGCATTTTTGGAGGGATCCCAGTAGCCTCAACTAAGAAGCAGGTGCGAAGGTAGGAGAGAATGCTGTGGATTTGCTCTTGCCATTAATTCCAGGGCAGTAAGGGGGAGCTCAGGTTTTCTGCTTCAGAGAAGTCTGGATGAGCGCCCCAAGGGGTTATAGCACCATGAGGAGGCTCAACCTTCTGCAGTTGCCACATAACCACGATTCCTTGGTGAGATGACGGATCCCCCCAATGAGGGGCCCAAGCGTGCAACTGTAAACAGGGTCCCAGGCTCCAGAGGGAAAGCTGAGGCTGCAGTTCTACCTCGTTAAATGGGAACACACTTTGTGGAGGGAAGCAACTAGAGACCTGGGCTAAATGCAGCAGTCAACTCAGAGTAGAGGGTGGTGGGTCCCAAGAATAGAGATTAAAATTCATACCAGGAGAGGCCTCCAAAATCAACCTGCTGAGGATCCAAGGAGAATTCACGGTGGTATCCATGGTTACCAGGGAGACAAGAATCCCTTTGGGAGTCTGAGGCAGTTGGAATGGAGGAAGGGGCTCTCCCCTTTCCTTTTTCTCAAGTAGCCAGTAACATCCATGCTAGAAGGCACTGGCTGGGCAGCACCAGAAAATAAAGTTAAGGGCTCAACCTCCTGATCAAGATGGCATGAAAAGTCTGAGCCTTGCCATGGGACTGGAGCTAAGGACAGGGTTCAGAAGAGGCCTTGGTCCAAAGAAGGCCCATCCAGTCTTCCCTTCCTTCCGAGTTAGAACACCCAGCTCTGGGGTCTCCTCATTCTGCACAGCAGAGGCCTTAAGGCAGTGATTTCAGCACCATCCTTGCACAAACATCCTCTTCCCACCACAGAATTGCATATTTTACAGCTGAGTTGGTTGGGGATCTTCACAGCTCATGGACTTAGCAGCAAAAGCAGTGATAGTCTCCATTATAGAGGACCCTGTCATCCCTGGTAGCTACCAGGTGAATGCAGAAGCTTTCTTGGGGAGCAACCCGAATGAGATGTTGGACCTAAATGGAAATATCCTGATGTGAAAAGTCAGATGCATGTATTCCTTGGTTGGGTAGGACACAATGGTCCAGGTTCCTATGCCTGTAGGTTCTGACAAGGTCTTGTGCTACTTAGGAATCTGAAGAACAAGTGCATGGGCCCAGCCTGATCACATATCTTTGATCTGCAGAACTCTGAAACTTCATCCTCACCAGGCAGCTCGTCCTAGATCTGGTCCCACGGGGTCTTCCCGGAATGGCAGGAAGAGAGCTTGCCCACTTGAGATAAAGCAAGATTCTGCAGTCCTTCAGGGTTCATCTTAACCGATCAAGATCTTCTGCCCCCCGTGTACTGGACACCTAGTCAAAGGCTTCTTCCTAGATGGCAACTTGGGTTTTGGCTACAGTTCTTAGATGATCCTGAGGGTCTAGATAAGAAGATGTGCACTGAATGGAGGTTAAGATTTCCTACTAGATTGTGAACATAAGGGCTCAAGTCTCATCATTTTTTTAAAAACGTAGTGACAGACAATGGGTACTCAATAAGTGTTTGTTGAATGAAGGCATACAGACTGCCAGACCTCTGGGGCAACCTCTGCTAAAAGTGATCCCTTTGGAAGGCAGAGCTTTGCCACCAAATCAAACTCCTTGAGCCTTATATTCTGATTGGGAGTATGTCATACAGATGTCCAGTCTCTTAAAAGTGAATATTCACTTGTCAGAAACAAATAGTAAAGGCCAGCTAGGGATTTTGGATTCAGTTGAGCAGAGTGGCTGCCATCAGAATGGGGCAGCGAGGGGCCATACAGGCCACAAGACAAAGCAGGAGTTCTGGTGTCCTGGTTTTCATCCCAGTCCAGTGAGAAGCTCAGGGTAGATCTTCTATCCATATGGGGTGATACACTTTTAAGTTAGAGGCTGGCAGTTGAGCATTCAGGCAAAATGTGTGCTTTCTCAAAAGGGAAGTTGAGGTTCTTCTACTACTTCTGTCTGAGCTGATGCTTCATGTCTCATACAAGTCTCAAGGATGCCAGCGATAGTGGTGGTGTGGCGGGTATCTAGCTAGGGCCAGTTAGATGGCAGTCAGATTCTCCAGAGAAAACCCGCTTGGCAAAGCCAAACTAGGCCCAGGAAAAGCAATCCAAGCATTTGGTGGACGTGAGAGGAAATGGGGAGGAAAAAAGAAAGAAAGAAAAGGAAAATAAATAGGCACCAGGGAGGGGGGGAAAAAGAAACAAAACAAAAAGCGAAAATAAAAAATAAAAAAAGTAGGGTTTATTGACTGTCATGCATGTTAAATTAGAGGCTGTAAGACAGGACCAGCAGTCTTTCTCTGAAGGCTGGAATGTTATTTTTGTGGCGTGGCTACTTCTGAGATAGGCAATTGTCTTGTCATCATCCCTTACGTCATCCAGGGGTGGGCAAGCGCTCTCTCTACCTTGGCAACTGTTTTCTCTCTCTCCAGCTTCATCTTTCCTTTTTTTCGTTTTTGTTTTTTTAAATACCGTTTACAGATTGATTTAAACATTTTTTTAAACCACATGCTTCTTTTTCTGGGCTCCAGCCAGATCTCTGGGGGGAAGAGTTATTGGCAGTGGTGACAGAAGTCAGAAGGGTCTGCAAGAAATTCCGGGGGGCTTCCACCTCCCTCAGGTTTCCCCCCACAGGGCTGTCTCTCTCAGAGCTGTTCACGAGAATCATGTAGGAACTGCTGCAGGTTTTCCTGATGTCTTCTGAACCCCTCCCCAGAAAGCCTAGGAGTTTCTAATTGAGACAAGAAATCAAGGAAAAAGACCCAGAATCCTCTTTTCCCCAAAGTCATGAGAGGAGGCCAGTGAATGTTATCTAGGGGACACATATTTCCAAACTCCACCCCACCAGTCCTTCCTAGGAAGTTCTCGAAGGTGCAGCACCAAGAACCTGCCCTCTTCCTTCACCTCCTCCTCCCCCTCCTGTTCTCTTGGGCCGGAGAGCCAGTGCTCTGGAAGAAGAGAGGGGAGAGGAGGAGAGAACGTCGCTGCTGCCGGCATTTCTGCTGTCCGGGGTGACAGGGACTGCTGGGCCCTCAAAGTGTGGCCTGGAGGTTGGGGTCCAGGATGGTTTCTCGATCTGGAGACTCAATGTAATTGGCAGCTTCTTGAAGCTTCAGCAGCATGGCCATCTAAAAAGGGCAAAAGGAGGGATTCATGAGAGTTGGGACTCAGGGTCCCACCCCCAGAAGGGAAACCTAAAGCAATCTAGATCCCGGGTCTTGTCCTTGGTTTGTAAGTGATTAGGAGCCCAGAGGGTTTACAGGTGGCTCATGAAAAAGCAGCGATGAGGGGACACCTGGGTGGCTTAGTCAGTTGAGCATCCGACTCTTGGTTTCGACTCCGGTCATGATCTCAGGTTCGTGAGATAGAGCCTTACGTCAGGCACTGCACTGAAGGCATGAAGCCTGCTTGGGTTTCTTTCTCTCCCTCTCTCTCTGCCCCTCCCCTGCACCTACTCGCTCTCTAAAAAGAAATAAACTTAAAAAAGAAAGAAAGAAAAAGCAGCAATGATGACTTAAACCCTGTCTGTAAGGCGATGCCCAAACAGGAGAGACGCCCTCTGCCTCCAGGGCGCTCACACTCTAGGAAAGGACAGAAGGCCTGTACACACTGGCTTGTACTGGGGGGGATTTGCAAAGTGGCGCTAAGAACGTCGGTGTCTGTCAGCTTCTTCTGATAGAACATAACCGCACACACTCAGTGTTCTCATGAGCCAGTCCTCACCCTCCTGCCCCAGGCTCACATACCCTAGTGCCTCGTGTCAAGTCTAAACTCCTCAGTGTAACTCACTTCCTTTTTTCTTCCCTCTTTACCTCTCACTCTCCTCTGGTTCCTCAAGACTGTGACCATCCATTTCAGCTAAGTACGCCTGGTTGGTTCTCTGTGGAATCTGCTCTCCGCTCTTGTATTCACATGATCACTAACAGTCTTCCAATTTAATGGCTATTTTTACGTGAATAACTGCATTTTTAACTAAGTCAAAAGTGAAATAAAAGTGTATCATGTGGAAGAATTTCTTACTTGCAAGATAAAACTATAAGGTCACAGAAGTTGTGCACGTTGAAACTTTAATACAAACTGCCAAGTTATCTTCTAAAATGGCTTTGCTGACGAACGCTCTCACCAGCAGAGTAGGATGTGCTTCCACACACACCATTTTTGCAGTGTGATATGGTTATCTCCTTATTTTGATGTGCATTCCCACAATTACTAGAGAGGTGACTGATCTTTTCAGATTTTTATTGGCCATTTGCACTTCCTCTAGTCAAATGCCTTTTCATATCTTTTGTCCATTCTTCTATTTGGAAATGTTATGAGAAGTTTTATATACTTTCTTTTTTTAATGTTTATTTTTGAGAGACAGAGAGAGACAGAGCGCAAGCCAGGGAGGGGCAGGGAGAGGGAGACACAAAATCAGAAGCAGGCTCCAGGCTCTGAGCTGTCAGTACAGAGCCTGACATAGGGCTCGAACCCATGACTGTGAGATCATGACCTGAGCCGAAGTCAGGTGCTTAATTGACCGAAGCCACCCAGGCGCCCTGGGAAGTTTTATATATTCTAGATACCAATCCTCTTTGAAGCTTTTTTTTTTTTTTAATGTTTTATTTATTTCTAGGAGAGAGAGAGAGAGAGAGCGTGAGCAGGGGAGGGTCAGAGAGAGAGGGAGTGACAGACTCTGAAACAGGCTCCAGGCTCTGAGCTGGCAGTCAGCACAGAGCCCGACGCGGGGCTCAAACCCACGAACTGCGAGATCACGACCTAAGCGAAAGTCGGACGCTTAACCGACTAAGCCACCCAGGCGGCCCAATACCAATCCTCTTTTGGTTACAAGCCTTGCAACTCTTTGCCCCTAGTTGGCCACTTGTCTCAGACTACTTTTTACCGGAGCTCATGAAATCCACCGAGCTGAGGCAGTCCTCAATATAGTACCAGAGAACGGAGGGAGAGAGACAGAGTGGCCACGCATCCTATTGCTCTCTTCTTTGCTTGTTAGTCCTACCTGGGATCTGCCCGAGACTCGGGTCTTTACTAGAACACATCTTGCCAGCATGCACTATTATTTAGCTTGAGCTACGTTGCAGGCATATGATCTTTATAACCCAGGACTCTGACAGTTGAGCTCCTCACTGACCTCCTCCTGGTCCTACCCTTGCCGATAACCTTCGGTCTCCATCAGGGTATGCATGAAGAGTTCAATTCCATAATACTCTTACTTTTACCTTAGAATGGCTTCTACTCACCAGAGGGTCCGAGTCCAGAGAACTTGGGGTACTATCTTTGACTGTCCTATCCTCGGGGGGTGAGGCAATGCTGTGAGGACCCACGGTAGGCGGAGGCAGGTGGTACAGCTTCGATTGGTCTTGTTGGGCTGATGGCCAGGGAAGAGTGTCCCGGACCCACTCCACAGGGTCCTCCCAAGCGGCTTTCTGTCCATGGACCTGGAGAGAAGGGGAGATGTGATTACTGGCAGAGGAATCCACAGGTAGAGGCTTGCTCATGCAGTCTCCTGATGGTCATATGTACTTCCTCATATGGAAAGCCTTGAGGCTCTGATCACCCATGGAATTTTCTTTGAGTTTCCAAATAAAGGAAGTAAGTCGGTGTAAGCTAGTGAAACCATTTTGGAAGATAATTTGGCAGACTGTGTTAAACACTTAACATGTACCCAACTTATGACCCCATAATTTTACTCTTTAAGTAAGAAATTCTTCCACTTTAGTAATTATATCTTTTTCTAAAATTTTTAATTAAAAAAATTTTAATGTTTTATTTATTTTTGAGAGAGAGAGGCAGCATGAGCAGGGGAGGGTCAGAGAGAGTGGGAGACACAGAATCCGAAGACAGGCTCCAGGCTCTGAGCTAGCTGTCAGCACAGAGTCCGACACGGGGCTTGAACCCACAAACCGTGAGATCATGACCTGAGCCAAAGCCAGACACTTAACCAACTGAACCATCCAGGTGTCCCCCGCCAAAAAAATTTTTAATGTTTATTTATTTTTGAGAGAGACAGAGAGAGAGAGACAGAGCATGAGTCAGGGAGGGGCAGAGAGGGAGACACAGAATCCAAAGCAGGCTCTAGGCTCTGAGCTGTCAGTACAGAGCCCAACATGGGGCTTGAACTCACAAACTAGGATATCATGACCTGAGCTAAAGCTTAACCAACTGAGCCACCCAGGTGCTCTTAATCTTTTTTAATGTTTATTTATTTTTGAGAGAGAGAGAGAGACACAGAGTATGAGTGGGGGAGGGGAAGAGAGAGAGGGAGACAGAATCTGAAGCAGGCTCCAGGCTCTGAGCCGTCAGCACAGAGCCCAGCGCTGGGCTAGAATTGCGAAATTATGACCTGAGCCGAAGTCGGACACTCAGCTGACTGAGCCACCCAGGTGCCCCTAGTAATCATATCTTTACAAAAAAATTCTGACTCTGGGGCACCTGGGTGGCTCAGTCTGTTGAGTGTCCGACTTTAGCTCAGGTCATGATCTCAAGGTTATATGAGTTCGGGCCCCATGTTGGGCTCTGTGTTGACAGCTCAGAACCTGGAACCTGCTTAATGCAAAATTAAGTAAATAATGATTTCTGGCAACAATCTGATAGTGTCCCTAGAAACTTACTATCTCATTAGGGGATATTTATTACAATAACATATTACTGTATTTTTATTTACTTTTTTTTATTACTTTTTTCGGGATCTAAAGTGGGCTCTATACCCCGACAGCAGAGAGCCTGATGTGGAGCTTGAACCCACGAGCCATAAGATCATGACCTGAGCAGAAATCAGATGCTTAATCAACTGAGCTACTCATATGCCCCAAGAACAAATCACTTTTATGGAAAATACATGGCCAATAGGCATTCAGAAATTGCATTACACTTCACTAGGGCTGGAAAAGACTTTAGTGATCATTATGTCCTCCTTCACAAGTAAAAAAACTGGGGGGAAGGGGTTAATAAAATGACCTCTTTGCTTTGCATTCTTATTTGCATCCTTCTTATTCTAACTTCTAAAAATCTTTTTACATATTTCATGTCTTCAAAACAACCCAGTGATTTAGGCAGAGCAGATTTATAATATCCTTTCTTCTACATAAGTATGTTAAAGAAGGTTATGGAACTCGGCCAAAGTAATATTTTTATTAGCAATTAGTAGGAGGGTTTACTTAATTCTTAGCTTGGTGTTTCTCTATTTGCTCTGATCCTCTTTTTAAAAAATATTTATTCATTTTTAAGAGTATGAGTTGGGGAGGGGCCAAGAAAGAAGGGGACAGAGGATCTGAAGCAGGCTTTGCACTGACAGCACTTAGCCTGATGTGGAGATCGAACTCACAAACTGTGAGATCATGACCTGAGCCAAACGAAGTCAGACACTCAACAGACTGAGCCACCCAGGTGCCCCTGCTCTGACCTTTGAGAGGCCTGCATTTGGCACAGAGCCAGAAGGCCCAGGACTGGACAGGCCACAGAGACAGTGGTCCTATAGCCATTTACTAAATGGTGGCTGGTGACAGGGCCTTACTCTACCTAAGAGTAAGAAGAGAACCTAACTAATCTTGGAAGCCTCGTGTCTAACATTGAAGAGATATTTCTGCTTTGTTGGGTGGGATAGCCTGACTCTGGGGACTAAGCAGAATCAGAGGGTAGGGCTCACCTTGATCCCATCCTTCGCTCCTTCCTGTAGATAAGGAATGATAGAATTGTTCCACAGGTCAATGAACCAGGTCCGGAAGTCTTCAATGCCAATGGGACAGGACAGAAAGAAGCAAGGGCCTAGGGAAAGGGATGAGACCATTAAGATGACTGAGAACTCAGGTCTCCCCAGTCATCTCTCTCTTTTACTCCTTAATCCCAGGCAGAGGGATCTGATAGCCAAAAGAGTAAAAGAAATATATATACATTTCATATATATATATATATTTCATATGTATATATTTCATATGTATATATTTCATATGTATTTCATATATATTTCATATGTATTTCATATGTATATATTTCATATATATTTCATATATATTTCATATATATATATTTCATATATATGTATTTCATATATGAAATATATATATATGAAATATATATATATATACAAGTTTATTTATTTAGAGTGAGTGAAGGAGGGGCAGAGAGAGGGTGAAAGAGAATCCCAAGCAGGTTCCGTGCTTTCAGCACAGAGCCTGATGCGGGGCTCGACTCCACAGACCATGAGATTGTGACCTGAACTGAAACCAAGAGGGACACTCAACTGACTGAGCCACACAGGCACCCCAGGAACAAAAGAAATTTAGAGTCGGGCTGTCCTGAGATTGTTGTCAAGACCAGTGGGAGTGGCAGTCTCTGAAACATGCTTCTTCACAAGGTAGAGTTAAGGTGAGGGAGGGACGGGAAGTTTTTCAATTCCCCCCTAAACACTTTCCTTCCTTTTCCCCATTAATTGTGGGAAAAATGAGGGAGTGGGCTTTCTTCTGGTTGAAGTGATTTACTCCCATCATGGTGCTAACTGCACCATGCTTGTTAAGTAATCAAGCGGACCTGAGTCTGAAGCCATGAGGCTTGCCACTCCTTTACATGGTGAAGACTCCAGAAAGAAAGGGGAACATCCCACTGGGTGGCAAAGTCAGAAAGGAAAGCCACCTTCTGACCCCAAAGGGGAAGCTGAATCCCAGTACCGATGAGGAAGTCTGAGGTGCTGTGCTTCTCAAGGAAGGTGTGGAGATGATACCACAGCTTGGGTACCCAGTCAAGCACCCGAAGCAGCTCTTCCTTGTTGGCATTGATGTCACTGTCTGACTCTACCAGCTTCCTCCTCAGGTAACGGACCAGGAAGCCATTGGCTGGCTCTACGTTGTTGGAGAAGGTCAGCATCCTGCAGCCAGGAATGGGGAGAATGGGGTCAGGTTGGCAATGTGGACACTGTCTGTGGTCATTCCCTGCCTGCCTCCCACAGATGCCCATTGGATTTCTTCTCAGATAATAGCGGGGTCAACTGAACTCAGGGCAGTAGCATTGGGCAGGTAGAGCTGATCCTCAAATCAGTGACCATCTTCAGATAACCATAGGACCTCACTGACCAGGATGGGGGGGGGGGTGGTGTGGGCAGAGAACCCAAATTACAGAGTCTCAGCTTCATCCCTTAGTTTTGTAGTTCTTTCCCCTTCTCAAGGAGTCTCCTCCACCCCGTCACTGACATGCCAAATATACCTAATCTCTCTTCCCAGCCCAGACACCCTGCCTAATTCTCTTTTCTTCTGCTATCTACTGCCCCTCTGGTTGGATCCTGGGATTTAACTGGTTTATAGAATCTTTGGTAGTGTTGGAAGGTTCATCCAGGGCCACAGTTCTTACCTGAAGCTCAAGTGCAAACCATGATTGGGTGTCATTTTTACAGGCTGATTGGTGGTACCTATAATATAAGGACTGTGGGAAGAAGGAGGAAAAAGGTTTACTTGGGCTAATGTTTTAACCCTTGCTTTCTGCTATTTACACCCAATGGAGAGCTCCAGGTTGGATGGACCAGGCTCTCCTCCCACGGTGGGGAATTTGGTCTGGAGCCCAGCTTACCATTTGTGGTACTTGCAAGTGAGAGCCCCATTGACCAGCTCACTGATGGAGCCTGCTTCACTCAGGTCATCCAACAGGATCACCAGGGGGACATCCCCAATTCCCGTCTCCCGGTCTATTTGGTTGGCCAGGTTGGAGAGATACAGTTGCAGATCCTGAGATAAAAGAAGGAAGCGGGTCAGTGCTAAGGAGAGAACGCTGGGATCAACTGTGGGAAGAAGGCTTCTGGAGAAGCCATGCTAGTTCCGGATTTCCCTGGAGCCTTTGATTCCTATTTGATGCATTTTTTTTTTTTAATTTTTTTTTAATGTTTTTATTTATTTATAGAAGAGAGAGAGAGAGAGACAGCGTGAGCAGGGGAGGGTCAGAGAGAGAGGGAGTCACAGACTGAAACAGGCTCCAGGCTCTGAGCCGGCAGCCAGCACAGAGCCCGACGCGGGGCTCGAACCCACGAACCGCGAGATCATGACCTGAGTGAAAGTCGGATGCTTAACCGACTAAGCCACCCAGGCGCCCCTATTTGATGCATTTTAACATTCGATTGTAGAAGCAGATGACTATGGACTACTGATTAACAGTGGTCCCAAAGGCTCTAAGGCAACCATCTTAAGCAGTGGCTCCTAAATTCCCGAAGGGTGGGGATCATATTCTCTATCCTACGTGGCTTTTCACTGGGTTAGTACCATGAACCACTCCAATGGACATGTCTCCCCCTGCTGGGGAGAGCCAAGATTTGAAGCCACTCCAGAGTGTTGGGCTGTGCCCAAGAGACATCCAGATTAGGCAAAGAACCGTGCAATGTATAACATTTAATTCTGAGTGCTTCTCCCCAGAAGGCCCAAAGTCAAAGTAAAATGGAAAAGAAATACTGAAAAGAAAGGTAGAGGGAAGAAAATAAAAGAAAAGATGGGATTTTCAGGGTTGGCAGAAAGTGAGGTGGATATGAGGATGGAATTTAGTCCAGAATCAGCGAAAGAGAAAGGAGTGGAAGAGGGGCTGGGGGAAGAATGGGGAAAGAAGGGAAGGAAAAAGTCTGGAAAGAAACTGGGGACAGAGGAGGCACTAGGAAAGGGGATGCAATGAGATGGGAAAGGAGAACACTGAACAGGGAAGATTCAGGCAGAGGGGAGGAAAGAGAAAAGAGGGGGTGGGAAAGGCCTGGGCAAGGCTTTAGGGAAGCAGAGGCCCAAGCAAAGGCTGGTGGGTGGGTCAGGAGGCAGCCACCTTGCAAGACTGTTGGTGCATGTTGAAGGTGCTGACGATGCCCTCGGTGACCTCGCGGCCGGAACGTTCCACCAAGTACTCAGCCAGACGGTTGGTCAGGTAGGTCTTGCCTGTGCCGCTGGGGCCCGAGAGGACAAGGCGCCGGTGCTTGAGCAGGAGGCTGATGTAGTGCTGCATCATCGGCTTGGGGACCAGTGTCTCAAACACCAAGCTGTCGACGCACTTCTCCTTCAGACCTGAACCACCCGCCCCAGAGAGCATGAGCCATTACCAGGGCCCTGAGGGCGGCAAAGGCACCTGACGACATTTCTTTCTTCAGAGCCCACTGAAAGAACTCAGACCCACCTGCCTTGTGGTTCCACAGGAATCCCCTAACCTCTAGTTTTGAAAACGTAGGTCTTATTTTAGGGACATGTTCTGAGCTATAGGTGTGTGAGTGGAGTGAGAAACCTAGGCTTTCTAGAAATTTTTCTGGGAATGAAAATGGCCCCGGGAATAAATGTTAGGATTGCATCTTACTCATCTTTTTAGTTTTTATTTTTATTTTTAAATGTTTATTTATTTTTGAGCGAGAGTGACAGAGTATGAGAGGGGGAGGGGCATAGAGAGGGAGACACAGAATACGAAGCAGGCTCCAGGCTCCCAACTGTCAGCACAGAGCCCGATGCAGAGCTCAGACCCATGAACTGTGAGCTCATGACCTGAGCTGAAGTGGGACACTTAACTGATTGAGCCACCCAGGTGCCCCTTACTCATCTTTTTTATATCCCTCATCACTTAAGTATGAGCCAGCACATTGTAGCTCCTCAGTAAATCCTTGTTGAATGAATGTGTGATGGACTGTCTGATGTTCCTCTCCCTCCTTCACCTTGTTTCTCTGCACCCCAGGAGACAAAGACTGACCTTTGAGGGAGACTGATATGTTGTTGACGCCCCGGCGGCAGGGAGGCATCTCCGGGGGCTCTGCATCCAATACTCGCTTCACATGGCTGATGCTATAGCCATGGATGGACTCGGTGCTCAGTCCCAGGGTAGAGGCTGGGTCCATCTTAGAAATATAGTCCTGACAGAAAAGAAAAAGAGAAAAAAAAAAAAGAGTAGAGAGAACACCGAGATGATACAAACACAGATGTACAAGCCACAAATTTTAGAGGGAACGGAAGTAGATGGAGAAAGGGAGGAAAATATGTTTTTCCTGGTTAGCATTTCTCCATAAATCATCAAAGGTCCCCAAGATCCCAGTGCCTGGATGGCTCAATATCTCATGAGAAGATGAGTCACCTTTGCGAGTACATGTATCCCTTTACCTTGAACACTTGGAAAACAGCTTCATCCAGCATCTTCCAGTCAACTTTTCCACTGACCTTGCTACACCCCAGGAAGAATTCCTGTTGCTTCAAGTCCTATACAGCCAAGGTAGAAGTGGGTGAGCCTCCATGCAGATCACTCCAAGAAAGGTTAGGCGTCATCAAAGGCATTAGCAGTGGGGTACTCTGGTTTTGGGGGTGTTCAGAGACGCCATTTTCTTGGATAAAGTTAATAGTGTCACCAGGCCTCCTTGAAGTTCCTTACCCCTTTGATGATGTGCTGGGGGGGCATCCTCACAACCACCCGAAGGGTCACTTCCTCCTTTGGACCACAAGTGCTGATGCCATCCATGGGTGACAGGTCTGTGGACAGTGAAAAGAACTATTGGCTTTAGGGGGCACCTACAGGCTTTCCTAAACCTTCCAGTCGTTCTCCTTTCCAAATAAGTATTTCCTACAAAGAGGTAACTGAAGCCCAACACTGAAAAGTAACTAAGGTTGAAGGAACCGGGGCGCCTGGGTGGCTCAGTTGGTTACGCATCCAACTTTGGCTCAGGTACTGACTTCATGGTCCGTGAGTTCTAGCCTCGCATCGGGGTCTGTGCTGACGGCTCGACGCCTGGAGCCTGCTTCCAGTTCTGTCTCCCTCTCTCTCTGCTCCTCCCCCGCTCACACTCCGTCTCTCTCTCCCTCTCAAAAATAAACATTAAAAAAAAGTTTTTTTTAAAAGGTTGAAGGACCATAACAACTCTCCGTGTCTCCCGACATGGCATCTGCTTGGTGTAGGCATCATTACTTCCGTGACCTAAGAAAGGTGTCACCAGTGCAAGTGGAACCCCTTTTCTTCTTTCCACCTTTAAAGGTTCTCCCAAACAGGTACCTGTGTCTGTGAGGCCCGGGCTGAAGGAATGTGTGAGGGCGAGGCCCAGGGAGCGGCGAGGGGATGATAAAGCAGATGACCCAGGGACCTGCCCTGGCGTGGAGCCTGATGAGGGGCCTGGGGCTACCTTCAGCCGGTCATTCTCTGCTTTCAGCAGGTCCACCTCCAACTGTGGCAGGGACAGACAGGGGAGGGTCGCAGAGTTGGACAGATCTCGAGCCTCGGCCTTCCCTTTCCTCAGCTCTCTGCCCAGACACCGACCTGCATGTTGTGCATCGTCTCTCGGAGTTGGTCCAGCTGATGGGCAGAGTTGAGGGCTTCCAAGCGGATGTCTGTGAGCTTCATCTCTTTCTCCCACAGTTCGGAGCGCAGCTCTGATACCTCCTTCTTCTCTGGCTCCTCTTCCTCATTGCCGTGGAACAGCCTAGCATGGGGGACCGGGTGAGCGGGGCCCCTGTAAGAAAGTGAGGGTGAAGCCAGGTCACGTGGGGAAGCTCTAGAGTTACTAGGGGACACAGAGACCCTTGGCTGGCGGTCTTGGTTCTCCTGCCCAGACATAAATGGTAGTGGGAGGGAAGGCCCATCGCTGGCCTCATATGCCCCAGGAGAGATCTACAGTGCGGTACTGTCCAGGGGCAAACAGTGGGCGTAACTGCGGACTCTGGCCAGCAGCTTATACTAGTACTGGGCAGGGTGATGGGCAGAAAGCACTTACTCAGTGACTTCAATGCCCACAGAAGAGGAGTTGGAGGACTTGATGGAGGGCGAAGCAGTCTCTGTGGAGCTGTGCTGTAGTTTGGGGGATGAGGGGGCAGAGGAGTCGGGTGTGGCAATCTCCTCAATATCAGAGTATGAGGAAGCTGACTTGGGTCCCTTTTTTATGCTGAAGGCTTTGTTGAAGGAACTTCGAAGCTAGAAAAAAGCAGAGCCAGGTAGAGAGATGTCAGGGCTCCACCCCAGAGACTGGGTGAGGACTGGTTTGGGATTTCTGAGACAGAGAGCTGTACAGGCAGGGTATTTGCTGCTGTAATTAAGCCTCCCTCTTAAGGCTTCACTTGGTTCATGGAATATGGGCAGAAGAGTTGCCTAGAAATTAGGGCTGAGAGAAAGTGGAATGTTCTGGTTCACTGTTGTTGTGGGCTATGGGAACTTCTTGAGTCTGCTCTCTGCCATGGGGGAACTGTGCCCCTGAGTAGAACAGAGAGAAACTCCCAGAGGTCATATGGTGGCCAATCTCTCAATGATCCAATCCCACCTTCTCCAGCAGACCAATTACTGTTCAGTCTAGAGCCTTGCTCACTTTGGGTCTCAGGATCCACCTTGACCAGGGCTCATCAGATCAGAATTCATTTATCTATTAACCAGAGACTGGCAACATGATTCTGTGGAAATCATCAGAAGGGAGTGGTATCAAGTTTCTTTTAGTGTCTCGTGTGCTCAGCACATCCCAGAATGACTGAAACAGACACAAGTGCTTTCTACTATTTCACTCAAATGTCCCAGAATAAGGAATATTTCCCAGCATTTCCTCCAAATACTTGGGATACTATAATTGGACCATAGGGTTTTTTTTTGTTTTTGTTTTTTTTTTTGACCTTTGGCGTGTTGATGAGCTTGGGTGTTAGGGCTGTGAGCTAGAGATGCAAACCAGGGTTCTGTCCCACCCAGTCACATGCATCCATATAGCATGCACACACGCACAGGGACACAGATATGGAATGGCAGCAAGAGACAGAGAGTAAAGGAGGGGTCGGAGGCTGTAGGGGAAAAAGCAAACAGGTCTTTGGGACAGTGAGAGAAAAGAAAGGAAAACTTGAGGCTACTTTTTCAAAGTGTCTCTTTTGGAACACAGGAAGGCTGTCAGGTAGGTGATGGGTGGAACTGACGGTGGTGTGCACTTTGTGTCTACCAGGTAGGGTGTAAAGGACCAATCTGGCTGTGATGGGGATAAGAGAGAGAGAGAGAGAGAGAGAGAATGTGTGCAGTTAGCTAGGGTATGCGTGCAGGGAATATATATCATCATTGAATAGTCAAGGCTCAAGAATCCCATAAAACCCAATTCTCTGCAGAGATGAGAAGCTGAGGCTGAAAAGTTGACTTGTTTGAGATTGCAGAATTGAAGGAAAGCCTGAGACTGGAACTCAGCCTTCCTAATTTTCAACCCAATAGTCTTCTTCTACACTGCTGTAGCTATGGGAAGCTATGTGTGTGTGAGAGAGAGTGAGAGACAGAGAGAAAGAGTGTGTGTATGTGTGTATATGTGTGCAGAAAGAGATCCTGTTGCCACAATCTGCCTGGGGCACAATGCCTTGTAAGATCACTAAGACCCTGAGTAAGAAAGAGTTGTGTTCTCTGGGATGTTCAGGGCCCCCAAAGCCCAACTGCAGATGTTGACTGGTGTTAGATGGTGAAGGATTCCCTGAGTTCAGGAAACAATGGATCAATCAAGCAAAACAAAACAGACTTTTTTTTTAAGTAGCCTTCATGACCAGTGCAGAGCCCAAAACAGGACTTGAACTCACGACCCTGCAATCAAGGGTTGGACGCTTAACCAACTGAGTCACCCAGGCACCCCCAAACAGACTCTTTACTGAGGGACTTCTCAGTTCTTCCTATATGGAAGTGCATTGTAGAAATGCAGGGCTTCTCAATGACGCATCACTATTTTAAGGGGCATCATCGTGGCCTAGGGCACAACGCATTCTGGGAAATGCTAACCTAAAGAATCAAGTTTAAATAATCACCGTGGCATTTCAGGCCCTTCATATCTGTGCCTCATTGTACTCAGTGCTCTAGCTACAATGATTTTAATTCCCGCCCCACTGTTCCCCATCTGATTAGACAATGTCAGTGTAGAAGGCCTCTCAACATCAAGTGTAGACACACTCTCCTATTGCAGTCACAACTCAGTTGAACTTCTACTTCCTTTGTGGTGTTTCCCCTGCCTTCTGTAAGTAGTTTCATCTACGAGCTCCTTTAGCACTCCCTGACTGAATTAAGCATTTTGGCACCATTGGGCTGTTATCAGTATTATATGTACAATTTCAGTCTTTGTCTCCCCAGCAATTCTGCAGGCTCCTTGATGGTTCAGATTACAGACTCCACTTTTCACATTTTTCGGAACACTTGGCACAATGTTAGGATAGGGTTAGTGGACCTCAGATAGCTGGTTTGTAATGGAAACTCTGGATTCACCTTCTGCTTGTCTGGGAAACTATACTGTAACTCCTGAAAGGTCTTCAGAAACTCCACGGATGTTCAGAGGGCTTCAGGTTTGCGGGCGGTTTGAGGGTGCCCTGGACTGAATCCTAACCCCTCCTATCTCTGGTTCATCTCCCTATAGAGCTAAATCTCCAGGCAAGACCCAAACTGAACTGGCCTCTGGAAATGGTGGTCAAGATAACGTGCATCCAGTGATGCCCTTCCATGTTGGACTTCCAGGTTTGAAGGAACAAAAAAAATTAGAAAGCTCATTTTCTGGATAGGAGGAACTCAAATTGACTGCTTTTATAACAGGCCAATTTTGCAAAAAGGGAAAGACAGGAGGGAAGAGATCAGGATTTTGTTAACTTTCCCATTCGGCCCCCAACCAGACCACTCCTCTTGTCCTCATGGGGGCAGCCGTGGATGGACCATGCAGTGGAGTGAGTTAGGAACTCTGGTGTGGTTGTTACGGTTAGTTTTATGAGTGGCTGCTCCTTCTTTAAGGGAGGGAGTTGCTCTGGAAATGGGGAAGGTATGGCAAAAGGAAAGAGGAAACAAGGAGAGAGGAACTGGGTCTCTTACCTCATAGACCTGGAAAAAAATAGGGATTTGAAGTCAGCATTTTGAAGGGAAAAAAAAAGAAGCAACACTTAATCACTCATTTCACACAGCTGGGACCCATCTGTGCTACACAAAGCTTTGGGGGCCAGTCCTATTGAACAGGGGACAGAGGAGCAAGAAGTCTCCATTTGGGGATCCTCTCCTTCCCACAGGCAGCAGATGAGCTAAAAGTGTTTTAGATCTGCCTAGAGAATTGCAGAAAGGTCATCCAAAGTCAGTTGAGGGCTATCAGGAGCCAGCTGGGGGAGTCGGTGGGGGGAACTATCTCTGGACTAGTCAACAATAATATAAAGATTCCTTTTGAGGTATTACGGGAAGTTCCACAAATACTTCTCCAAAAAACCTGAAGAAATGACTTCCAGGAGCATCTAGCATGAATAGCTTTGTTCAGAGAATCTTCTCTCCACAGTAGAGAAGGGAATGGGCAAGGAGATTGATAGGACATTCCCTTCTAGATGTTTCTTTCTGTTGCCAAATACATTGGCTCCACTCAGAGGCATGGAGAGCCCAAGGAAGGTGGGTGTGCCTAAGGGTTGGAGGGATGGCCTTGGTACAAGTGGGGTATGATTGGGATCAAAGGAGAGTTTAGCTGACTTTGCTCTGAGCAGATACCTGGGGCTTGTATTAACCCCAAGGGACCCTATCTTGGTTAGTTCTGGAAGGAGCCAATCCCTACGCTGAGGTGGAGGTGACCCACCATGGCTCCTCACAGTTCCCACCCCCAACCTTTACCTACCCAGCTCTTTTTCTTCTTCTTTTTTGCGTCAGCATCCTTGCCGCTGCCAATGCTGGAATGGCTGGTGATGCTGTTGAGGCTCGAGATGCTATCTGAGGAGTTCTGCCTCTTGATCCGAAGTTCTAGGGGCCAAGAGCAAGTGGGAAGAACACACATAGGGTAGATTTAAGAAGACAAGGGACTTAAGGCAAGTCTAGCTGCAGAAGGTAGACGAGAAGGGGACCAAACAACTCCTACAACCACATCATTCATTTTCTGGATCATTTCTTTCAACAAGCGTTTGTTGAGTGTCAATCATGTTTCAACATTAAAAAAATGCTAAAGGTAAAAAAAAAAGTGTAAGAATATAAATAAGAAATGATTCTTCTTCTCAAGAAGCTTCCAGTCTAGTAGGATAAAAAGCAGTACACAAACTAATGAACTCAGCCTGAATAGGTCTGAGAAGGGCTTAATGAAAGCTTGCCCTCAATTCCTTGATGGAGACATCAACCTACCATTTTTTTTAAAGCAAACTCTGCCCCCAATGTGGGGCTCGAACTCATCACCCCGAGACCAAGAGCCACATGCTCCACAGACTGAGCCAGCCAGGCATCCCTCAACCTACCATTTTTTCGTGATTTTCCCCTATAATACTTGGCTGCCTGGTGCTCTAAGGCCAAGTGTAACTAGCCACGTGTCCTGCACTTAACCTAAATGAGCTTTAGTTTTCTCATCAGGTGGGTAGAAAATCTTTTCAGCTCTCTGCAAAGGTTTGGAATGGCATAAAAGATGATCCACTTTTCTACAGGGAAGGAAAAAGTTAACCAAGGAAGAAATGTTTGAGTCTTGAAAGAACAGAAGTTCTTTAGACGACTTAGGGCCAAAGAAAAAGTACACGCAGAGGCCCTGTGCAGGGCTCCAGCTTTGCTTGCGGAACCTCAGGCAGACTGGAATGGAAGCACGACAGGGAGCACAGGAAGAGGTGAGGGTGGAGGTTAGGCTCAGACCAGACTGGGGAGAGCCCTGAATGCCTCTTAAAGGATATTTGCGTTTGTGTTGTAGGTAATGAGCAAGAGTAACAGAGATTCTAAAGCAAGGGCAAAATATAATCAGATTTTTAAAGCCTTTTTATTTTGAAATAATTATATACTCACATGAAATTCCAAAGAAATGTACAGCCAGTCTCCTCCAATGTTAACATCTTGCCTAACTGTAGAACAATGCCAGCAGATTCATTTTTTTCATAGCACTTACTACGTTAACATGGAGAAAGAGGAAGTGGAGGGTTAGATCAGAGGTAGGGAGCTAGTTAGGTAGTTATCTGCAGTGTCCTCCTAGAAACAAGAGCTATTCAGCGAAGATGTGGGTAGTTTCTGGTTTATTTTCTCACTCTCTCCATGACCAAAAGTGCATCTTTAAACTCTAATCTTCCTTTCATACTACTGGGAAAACAAGATCCTAGGATCTGTTGAAGCACGTGGAAACCCTTTGTTCAAGGATTATCAAACCAAGTTTATGATACTATAGAGTTCTTCTAGTTATTAAAATTTTTTTTAATGTTCATTTTTGAGAGGCAGAGAGACAGAGTATGAGTGGAGGAAGGGTAGAGAGAGAGGGAGACACAGAATCCAAAGCAGGACCCAGGCTCTGAGCTGTTAGCACAGAGCCCAACAAGGGGCTCAAACCCACAGACCGTGAGATCATGACCTGAGCTGAAGTCGGAAACTTAAACGACTGAGCCACCCAGGGGCCTCAGAGTACTTCTAGTTATTATAAAGGTGTGGAAAATTCTCAAGAGAACATGCTGAATTCAAGTCAAGAAATTTTTATTTGTATAAAAATGGCTATATGTATCCCTGTATATTTATTTGTATATGCATAAAAAATTATTTCATTTCTGGAAAGATTCACAAGAAATTATTAACAGGAGTTACCTCTGGAGAGTGAGATTTGGGGTCAGGGGTTCAGGGAAAGGGATGTTACCTTTTACCACATACCCTTTTGTATAGTTTACATCAGAGGCTGGCAAGCTTTTACTGTAAAGGGCCAGACAGTAGATATTTTAGGCTCTGTGGCCAGATGACATCTGTTATACCACCTCCTCAGCAATGCTGTTGTTGCATTAACGCAGCCCCAGACAACATGTAAATTAATGAGAATGGCTGTGTTTCTGTAATATGTTATTTAAAAAATAGGTGGTGAGCTGGATTGGGTGAGTGGACCATGGTTTGCTAACCACTAGAGTTCACGTGTCCCCGCAGAACATTTTTTACGTTACTGTATTGCTTTTATGATAAAAACAAATTTAATTAAAAATTAGTTAATTGAAAGTTAAATGAGGGGCGCCTGGGTGGCTTAGTCGGTTAAGCGTCCGACTTTCGCTTAGGTCATGATCTCGCAGTTTGTGGGTTCGAGCGCCGTGTCGGGCTCTGTGCTGACTGCCAGCTCAGAGCCTGGAGCCTGTTTCAGTCTGTGACTCCCTCTCTCTCTGACCCTCCCCTGCTCACACTGTCTCTCTCTCTCTCTCTCTCTCCTAGAAATAAATAAAACATTTAAAAAAATTAAAAAAAAAAAGAAAGTTAAATGAAAGGCAGCAAAATAAGTGTGGGCATCTGTCTATTACCAGTTCCTTGGAGGTTCCAAATAGCTGTGAGTCCATCAATTCGATTTTAAAATTATGCTATATAGTACTTTGATTTTATTTAAAAAAATTTTTTTTATGTTTATTTATTTGAGAGACAGAGCATGAGTGGGGGAGGGGCAGAGAGAGAAGGAGACACAGAATCCGAAGCAGGCTCCAGCTCTGAGCAAGAATTCAGCACAGAGCCCAACACGGGGCTCGAACCCATGAACCATGAGATCATGAGTCGGACACTTAACCGACTGAGCCATCCAGGCGCCCTTATATAGTACTTTTAAAAGCAAAGGATGTTTTAGAACCAAACAACCTTCACAAAGTTCATCTTTTGTGCACTTTTAATTTTGCGCCACATATATTTATTACCTTTTTACACATAAAGGTAGGCATCGTTGCTTTGAGCATTATCTTACTGAATGTTCCTAGAAATCTTCCTGATCAGGTTGAGCCTGGGTCAACATGAACTGAGAAAACGTGAAATCTCAAAGCAAAAGACCGAACTCATTTCTTCACTTAACACATAAATATCTGAAGGCTAAGGTGTACTTGGGAAACCGGAAATAGCTTACTATTCCAGATTCAATTATGAGCTGTGTTTGACATACAGACTTAGTTTCTCTGATCTTATTCTTAAATATAAAATACACTTTATCGGGCTGTTATCTGAAATAAATGAAATAACAAATAAAATCCTTAGAAAAGTGCTAGCACATAGCAAGTGCTCAATAAATGCTGGCTGTTACTATTGCCACAGTAGGGATCAGAGTGCAAGAGGAAAATGGATGGAAGATGAAGCTGGAAAGAAAGGTTTGTCTTAGACCAGGAAGAGGATGACGGCACCCCATACTAATAGGTTTGCAACATATTCTCTTCCCCTTCCACTTATCTCTCTGAAAGGTTTCAAACACACAAATACTTAAAGCAGAGAACAATGGACATCCATATACCCCCTTCACCTAATTTAACAGTTGCTAATATTTTGTTATAGTTATACTTGTGTGTGCTCTCTTTCTCTCTTCCTCCACCTACAAACACATCCATGCACACACACACAAACACACACACATATGTACAGATATTTTCTTGAACAATTTGAAAACAAGTGGCAGACAACATGACACTTGGCCACTACGTACTTCAGGATGTACCTTCTAAGAATAAGGACATCATCCCACAACATCATTATCACACCTATGAAAATTAACAGTAATTCATTTTTTAAAGCAATAATTACTTATTTAAGTAATCTCTACACCCAATGTGGGGCTTGAACTAATGATCCTGAGATTAAGAGCCACACACTCCTCTGACTGAGCCAGCCAGGTGTCCCAGCTGTAATTCTTTTAAATTAATATCAAGTCCATATTCAAACTGGAATGATTTCTGATCTTAACTGAGATGATTGGATTACTGTTGGGGGGGGGCAGAGTGTGGAGGAAGGGCTGTGGCAATACAAGACGAGTTAGGAAATTATTGTAACAATTCAGAAGAAGAGTGATGAAAACCAGAGCCAGGGTAGTGACAAGACAGAAGAGAGAGAATTGAGTATCTGTCTATCTATCTATCTATCTATCTATCTATCTATCTATCTGCATGAGTTATATATAGAACTCAATAAGTGAAACAGTGAGACATAAAAGACGACTCTTGCATTAGTGGTTTGGATGACCAGGCAGATGATAACACCTGAAATGGGCAAAAATGCAGAAAGGAAAGGGATGGTTTGTGTGTTTGTAGGGGAGGTGGAAGGACTGCCTTTTAATACTGGACATAGTGAGTTAGAGACACCTATTAGGTGATCTAAGTGAGAATGGCCAAAAGTAGTTGAAAGTAAGGTTCAAAATTCAAGAGAGGGATATAGCTCAGGAAGACAGAGATACAGATTAAGAAGAGGTTGTAGGGGCGCCTGGGTGGCTTAGTCGGTTAAGCGTCCGACTTTCGCTTAGGTCATGATCTCGCGGTTCGTGGGTTCGAGCCCCGCGTCGGGCTCTGTGCTGACTGCCAGCTCAGAGCCTGGAGCCTATTTCAGAGTCTGTGTCTCCCTCTCTCTCTGACCCTCCCCTGCTCACGCTGTCTCTCTCTCTCTCCTAGAAATAAAAATAAAAATACTAAAAAAAAAAAAAAAAAAAAAAAGAAGAGGTTGTAAAACTTATCGACCTAATAAATAAACTCAGCAAGTCTGCAGGATATATGATCAATATATAAAAAAACTATTGTATTTCTATAACCTCGTAATGAATAATCTAAAAAAAACCCCAATTCTGTTCACAATAGTATCAAAAATAAAATAGTATCAATAGTATCAGTAATAAATAGTATCAAAAATAAGTAAGTGGTATCAAAAATAAAGTGAAAAGGAGCCTGGGTGGCTCAGTGGATTGAGCCTCTGACTTCAGCTCAGGTCAGGATCTCATGGTTTGTGGGTTTGAGCCCTGTGCCAGGCTCTGCACGGACAGCTCAGAGTCTGGAGCCTGCTTTGGATTCTGTGTCTCCCTCTCTCTCTCTGCCTCTCCTCTCTTGTGCACTCTCTCTCTCTATATCTCTCTCAAAAAGAAATAAACATTAAAAATTTTTTTTTAAATTAACAAAAGAAATATAAGACATATATAATGAAAACAGCAAAATACCAATGAAAGAAATTAGACCATCTAAATAAATAGAAAGGCATGCCATGTTCATGGAAAACTTACTATTGTTAAGATGGCAATACTTTCCAAATCCATCCACAACAGCATTAACACAATCCCTCTCAAAATCCCAGCAAGCTTATTTGCAGAGACTGACAAAGGATCAGTCTGATCCTGGAATTCCCATTAAAATGCAAAGAGCACAGAATAGACAAAACTATCTTGAAAAAGAATAAAGTTGGAAGACCAAGATTTCCTGATTTTAAAACTTACCACAAAGCTATTGTAATCAAGGCAGGGTAGTATTGGCTAAGGAGAGATATATAGACAATAGAATAAATAGAGTCTAAAAGTAAACAATATCTTTATGATTAATTGATTTCCTACAAGTGTGCCAAGATCATTCGATGGGAAAGATAGTACTGTTACAACAAACAGTACTAAGATAATTGGAAAGCCACTTACAAAAGAATGAAATTGGATCCCTACCTCACAACATATATGAAAACTAACTCAAAGTGGACCAAAGATCTATATGAAAGAGCTAAAACTATAAAACTTTAGAAGATAACATAAGAGTAAGTCTTCATGACCTTGGATTAGGCAATAGGTTATTAGATATAACACCTAAAGTACAAAAAAAAAAAAAAAAGGAAAGAATAATAGATAAATTACACTTCATTAAAATTAATTAAAATTAAAATTAAAATGTTTGTTCTTCAAAGGACACTATTAAGAAAGTGAAGACAAGCCACAGAATGGGAGAAACTGTCAATCATATATTTGATAAGGGTCTAGCATCCAGAATATAGTAAAGCCCTTAAACCTCAACAATAAAAAGGCAACCTGATTGAAAAATAGGCCAAGATTTAACTAGACATTTCTCCATAGATATACAAAATGACCAATAAGTACACAAAAAGATGCTCAGTATATTCTTAGCCATCAAGGAAATTTGCATCAAAATCAGAATGAGATACCACTTCACATCTACTAGGATTGTTAGAATAAAAAAGAAAGACAATCACAAGTGTTGACAAGGATGTGGAGAAATTAGAACCTTCACACATTGCTGACAGGAATGTAAAATGGTGTAGCAATTTTGAAAACCAGTCTGACAGTTCTTAACAAAGTTAACATAGTTACCATACGACCCAGCAATTCTGCTCTTAGCTATATACCCAAAAGAACTGAAAAGATATGTTCACACAAAAGCTTGTACATGAATATTCATTGCAGCATTATTCATAATAGACAAAATGTAAAAACAGTCCACTGTCCATGGACTGATGAATAGATAAACAGAATGTGGTATATCCACACAATGGAATATTATTCAGCCATAAAAAGGAATGAGGTACAGGATACAACATTGATGATTCTTGAAAACATTATTCTAAATGAAAAAGCCAATTACAAAAGACTCCATATTTTATGATTCCATTTATATAAAATGTCCAGAATAGGCAAATCCAGAGAGACAAAAAATATACATCCATGGATGCTGGGGGCTGAGGAGGGTAACAGAGAGTGATTGCTATGGATATGGGATTTCTTTGTGGATGATGACAATATTCTAGAATTAGATAATGCTCATGGTTGTAAATATGCTAAAGACCACTGAATTATACACTTTAAAAAGGTGAATTTTATGGTGTGTGAATTAGATCTCAACTCAAAAGAAAAAAATTAGAGGTTATAGAAGCTAGAGGAAGGATGTGAACACTAAGTTAAGTGCATAGAGTCATAAAAAAAAAAAAAGCTGTGGCTGGAGCCCTGGGAGCCCAGTCCCCTAGGACAAAGTGGAAGGAAGGAACGGGGTCTGTGAAGGAGGAAGTAGGACAAGGCCACGATGGGTATGATGAACCAGAAGCCACGGGAAGAATTTAATGAAAAAAAGGAGACCTTAACAGGGCTAGATCTTGGGAATCTTGGGGTACTGCCGTGTGTGTGTGTGTGTGTGTGTGTGTGTATGAGAGAGAGAGAGAGAGAGAGAGAGAGAGAGAGGGAAAGGTTTTTTTTTGAGCACCTACTATATGCCTTCCACCATAGTGGGATCTTCTGGTTTGATACAATAAACTCCAGTTAGGTGCTATGTCTATTTTTATAGAAGTAAAATAAGTACCAAAAATTATTAAATTTTGAAAAATGGGGGGTCCCTGGTGATTTTAGTGAAAGCAATATTGGTAGGGTGATAGTAATGGAAGCAAATTAGAGTAGGGTCAGGTGAGAAAGGGAAGTAGAGGGTAAGTTTGTGAAAGAAGGAGTTAAGATTATAATTGGAAAGGATATAGGTGGATACATCTTTCTTCTTTAAAGATAAATGAGCGTTTAGCAGTCTTATAAGCAGAGAGGAAGGAGTGAATGGAGAATAAGTGGTCAAAGATGTAGAAAAGTATGTGTATGTGTGCTGGGGATATCAACGCTAACAGGAGCATCCCCAAGCATTAGCTAAGGGATCCCTCTTGGCCAGAAGGACAGCCCCTTCTAACGAAATGGGAGAAACATAAGTAAGGATTAGTTGAATATAAATTGATGAAGTGGGGGAAGAGTCAATAGAATTCTTACTCGAAGATGTTTATTTTCTTGGTGAAGGAGGAGGCAGAGTCTAGGTTCAGAGTGAGGGAGGTCAGTGGTGGAGTAAGGGGCTGGAGAACACTGATAGAAGTTGGGGATCACTGGGGTGCCTGGGGGTCTCAGTCCATTGAGCGTCTCTTGACTTCAAGTCAGGTCATGATCTCAGGTTTGTGAGATCGAGCCCTGCATTGGGCTCTGTGCTGACAGCACAAAGTCTGCTTTGGATTCTCTCTCTCTCTGTCTCTCTCTCTCTCTCTCTCACTCTCACTCATATTCTTTCTGTCTCTCTCAAAATAAAAATAGATAAACATTAAAAAAAAAAAGTTGGAGACCACTGATAGTGGAATAAAAAGGAAAACTGACCACAGACAAGTTAGAGGACCATCCAACCGCTCTGGAAGCCTGCCTGTCAGACACTGCAGAATTTGGGGGCTTCAGACCACTACTCATCTTGACTTTCTCTAGCAAACTTGACTGTTTGGTTGTTAAATGCCGAGGCTAACTTGTCATTTGAGCCCCATGGAACCTATGTGATCTTTGTCTCATTTGAAGAGTAGATTGCATCCCCCTTGGAGAACAGAAACAAGGATCAAATAAGTATGTGTATGTGTGTATATAAAAACGTAAAGTGCTAACTTTAAAAAAAATTTTTCTTTTTTAAATTGACATCCAAGTTAGTTAGCATACAGTACAATAATGATTTCAGGAGTAGATTCCAGTGATTCATCCCCTGTGTATAACACCCAGTGCTCATCCTAACAAGTGTCCTCCTTAATGCCTCTCTCCCATTTAGCCCATCTCCCCACCCCAAACCCCACCAGTAATGCTCAGTTTGTTCTCTGTATTTAAGAGTCTCTTGTTTTGTCCCCCTGCCTGTTTTTCTATTAGTTTTGCTTCCCTTCCCTTATTAAAGTGCTAATTTTTTAGACTTATTTTGTAGAGCAGTTTTAGGCTCAGAGCAAAACTGAAAGGAAGGGACAGAAGTTTTCCATTTCACCCTGTGAATGCATAGCCCACCCCTCTACTATCGGCACCCCCCACCAGACGGGTGCATTTGTTACAACTGATGAGTCTGCACTGACACATCATTATCAGCCAGAGTCCACAGTTGACATGATGACGTGAGGTCACTCTTGAAGTTATACATTCTACGGCTTTGAACAAATGTATAATGACAGGCAGTCGCCATTATACTATCGTAGACAGTACTTTTGCTGCCCTAAAATCCTCTGTGCTCTGCCTATTCATCTGCACCTCCCCCCCGCCGAGCAGTCACTGATCTTTTTACAGTCTCCATAGCCTTGTCTTTTCCAGAATGTCATATTCTTGGAATCATACAGCATGTAGCCTTTTCTCATTGGCTTTTTCCACTCAGTAACATGCATTTGAGACTGCTCCATATCTTTTCATAGCTTGTTAGCTCATTTCTTTTTAATGCTGAGTAATGTTTCCTTGACTGGCTACAGCGCAGTTCATTCATCCGTTCACCTACTGAAGGACATCTCAGTTACTTCCAAGTCTTGGCAATTATGAATAAAGCTGCTATAAACATTCAGGTTTTTGTGAAGGCATAACATGTCAACTCCTCTGGGTAAATACCAAGGAGTGTGACTGCTGGGTCATAAGGTAAGATTACCTTTAGTTTCTTTTTTTTTTTTTTTAATGTTTTACTTATTTTTGAGAGAGCACAAGCAGGGGAGGGGTAAGGAGAGAGGGAGACAGAGGATCCAAAGTGGGCTCTGTGCTGACAGCAGTGAGCCTGAATGTGGGTCTTGACCTCATGAACCATGAGATCATGACCTGAGCTGAAGACAGACGCTCAACTGACTGAGCCACCCAGGTGCCCCGGGTTTACCTTTAGTTTCTGAAGAATAAAGTGCTATTTTAATGATGGTCTTTGACAGCTCATGGGCTCTGCCCTAAAGGTTCGGGGGAGGACCCATGGGGGATTACAGGTCTGCCCAACTGTCCGTCATCCCCAGGGAAGGTAGAATCATGCCCCTACTCTGACCAGTCCAGAGAATCACACTGAAGGGCATGAAAAGGCCCTCACCATCTAAAAATCTGATATGGGAACTGGCATATTATAAGCAGGGGTAACAATTTCCAATGACCCCATTCCTGTTCTCCTTCAAACTCAGGTTGGTTGTCCTACCTTTGGGTGTGGTTTCTGAGGCATTAAGGGCTCCCTGAATGACTGCCTGTGCTTCAGAGTTCTTTTTCTTCAGAAAGTCTATGGTTTCTCGTAAATCCAGCAGCTCAGTGTCCTAGAGATGTAAGACAATGGTGTCATTCGTTGGGATTGGGAGCACCTACTATGCGCCAGGCAACAGGCTAGGCACTGGAATTCTACCCGACTTGATACAGAAGGCAGGGGATGGGGACAATTGTGCTGAGGGGACATTGAGAGCTTAGGGTGATGGGAAGGGAGGGAGGCCCTGGTGCTCAGGAGAGAGAGGAGGAGGTGAGCCTTGGCCTGTCTGCCAGGGGAACCCCCAGCTCTCTTACCTTCTCCTCTGCTGTCTCTGCCAGGTGTCGGAGGCGGGATGTCATATTCACCAGGCTCTGCTCGAAAGCTGCCACTAGATTAGCCTGAAATAAACATGTGAGGAGATTCCTACGTTGCCTGAGGCTAGGGAAAAGAAGAGACTTTTATGGAAGTAGTTTGAGCTGATTTTCTGTGTCTCAGCACTGACCAATGCCGACAACCCTTTTGGTGATTTTTCAATATTGATTTCCCTGAGCAGACAAGGTGGAATCAAACACCCTTCTGGCCTGCAGAAATTTCCTGGTGGGGACCCGCTTCTTGAATGATGACATGGTACTGGAGGCATTAAGGGAGGGCAGGTTTCTGGAGGCTCTTGGGGATTTGGGACCTGGTACCTATCATCACCAGAGGTGAGACTGTCTCTGCTCTTCAGAAGGGCCATAACCTCTGGGTCATTCCTATTCTCTTGGTTTAACTCTTCTATTGTCTGGCGGGCTGGCCCCCATGGGTCTAAATCACCTCCCAGCAGAAACTGGTACTTCCTTCCACCTCTGCGCTCAAGTGCCCTCTGTTCTTAACTCCATCCTGCTTCTCTTAGTTCCTGGTTGCCTTAGGCTGTCTCTGCAGGGCTGGAGAGAAGGAGCTCAGGAAACTTCAGGGGCATTCTACAGTTTGGCCACTAGATGTCAGGTGGATTTCATGAGGAGGAGGCCAGCCGGGGAAGGTGGAGCTAAGACCTGGAACAGGGGCCAGCCCTCCAGCTGTTCAGAAAGGTGCAGGAGGAAGCAGGGTGCTAGGAAGGGGAACACTTGGGGACAGAGGAACAGCCAACCCTGGGGGGCATCTGAGCAAGTCAGTGACCCTAGCCAGAAGTCACAGGCATATTTTGGGCAGGTCTTTCATCCAAAGCTCTAGGAGGTATGTCTGTGACACCTGTCACTACTTCCTATGGGCCAATGATTCTCTCCCGCTGATGGGACAACTCTAGTTTATACCTATTGCCCTTGAAACATGCCTGCAGGCTACTTTCATTTGCCAGTGGCTGGAGGCAATCCCTTTGGGTCCACGTGAGCTACCTCTTCCTCGTGCAGGCACTATGAATCTATCTAGGCCTCGGCTCCGTGGCAGACCTATGTCACGACCCTGAGCACTTGCACTTACTGTACAAAACAGGGGTGGCTCCTGTTTTCTTGGCCTTAGGTTGCCACTTGCTCAGTTCTCCACATCCCTGCATAGGTATGTGAACAGACTGCTTGGAGCCCCTGGACATCTGCTCGGGAGAGACCCCAGGAACTGCTGGCCTCTTGTGTGGTGTCTTGGCCTCTTCTCACTGGGCACTCCCTTTGGTCCGAATGGGCTTTCCTTCCGTCTCCTACACATCCTCTCCCTCCTCTGGATTTTCCCTAACCCTCAACCTCACTGGGGTGCCTATAAGACCCGAGGGCTACGCAGTGGTGCTGGAGAGAGGCGGGCACTTGGGAGGGGTAGAAATGGCTTGCAGCCCTTCCCGGTCTAGGGTGTGTCCTCTGCGTGGGCAGCTGGGAAGTTCCATGGAACATAACAGAAGCTCAATCAGGAATCAGGGGATCCTGCAGAGTCCTGGCATCACTGACTCCTGCTTGAGGGCAGGACTCCAGCCCTCAACAGAAATCTGCCTCTCAAATTCAGAACCCATCAGGTCTGGCTATTTGTTCTCTCTTAGCCAAAGGGAACTTCCTGTTGGAAGAAAAATCACCTTCTAAATTCATTTTCTTGGCTTTTGCCCAGGCTTGACAGCATGAGGGCTGACAGATTCAGTGTAAATAAATCAGACGCACTAATGTTCTCTGCCTCCCTGGCGCCTCTCCCCACAGTATCTCCCAGATGTGAATTTTCTGGGGTGTGCAGGATGTGACCTGGGCCACCGGCCGTGGTGGGTGAGGCACAAGGGAGGGAAGAGACGGTTCTCGCTTATACTATAATTCTTATGGGTCCCAAAGAGTGGGAAATGGTGCTTGATACGGGCTTCAAACACACCAGTGAGTGCACAACTTAATAGCTGAGGGTTTGGGAACAGAGAATAACGAGTGTGGTGTGGGAACGGCTGTTGAAACAGAATGGAAACATGCAAAATCTAAGTGGAGAGTCTTCTACCTGATCCCAAGAAGACCCCAGGCCTGACAGCTGGGTTCCCCAGAGAGGAAGGGACAAGAAAAAAACCCCAGAAACTACTGCGGAAATTGCAGACATGGTTACTTTTGTGTGAACACTTGGAAGGCTCCTGCAAATCCGGCTCAGCTGTTGTTTACAGCTTTGAGGGAAAATGGCTCTTATGTTCTCTGTTTGCAACTTGGTCACAGGGGAGAAACTACCACAGCCTAGGGGAGAGGAGGTAGCTTCCTTTCCCCCCCATCTCATGGGGTAGAAAAACCAAGGCCTAAAGAAAGAAAGAAAACTCATTCTACTTGGCTGGACTGAGGGCGCGCTGAGGGCAGAGACAGAGAATCCTGGCCCCCAAGCTAAAGCTCACGTCGTTTGTGCCACCTGCCCAAGGAGACTGCTAAGAAAAGGCAGTTGCGAGTGAAGTGGCTGAACTAGAACGAGAACTGTGTTTCTAAGTGGTGCCACGCTCACCAGACAGAATGCTAATAGCCAGTTCTGTGCCTGCCCAGTTACGTGGCATGAACAAAGACGTGAACGCACCCCAAGGAAGCGGCAAAGAGTTGCAAGGGTTCTATAATACATAACTATTGCTGTCCATGGTCAATGGCCAGGTTGTTCCCATCTCCATGCGGAACCACTGATAATCCTTTCTTTCTCCAGGGAGTTCAAAGACCACTGGGCATGAACATATCTATACCTATTGATTACGCTGGGGGCAGACACAGGGCTTTATAAAAATTGAGACTCTGAGAAAGGGAAGGTCAGTCACCAAATCCTCTGTTGTAAAGCTATGAATGGGACCCATTCCCTTGGGATCTGTGCCCAGGGGATACCTTATGAGAGAATTCTCCTCCTTTGGCTGAACTTATCTGACTTGCAGCCAAAATAACTGCCTGGGTCTTCCCCTACTTTATGGCACTCACATTGGCAGAAAGTTGAGATGTCAGGGTGGCCACTTTTTCCTGGGATGATTCCAGCTCCCTGCGAAGCTTCCGGATTTGCTGTGAAAGGGAGAGAAATACAAACTTACAGTGGCAGAAGAAGTAGATCTGGAGGCAAACTGGGGTGCAGTGCTGTTAACAAGCAGAGACAAAGGCTTTGCACCCTACCTCAGACTGCATCCTCTCCTCAGCCTGAAGAAGGAGCACAGAAGGAGAGAAAGAGAGAAGGAGGTGGTTACTATGGAGGTGAAGAAGCCAGGCCCCAGCGGCAGGGCAGAGAACTTGAAGAAATGTGACGCAGAGGTATGAAGAGACTGAAACTCCGTTTCGTGGCCCTGGCCCTTCACAAGGTGGGCTGAGACCCTATACTTGGGTTCACATAAAAGATTTCTCTGGAGCTCATCTCTAGCCAACTTTGTCATTGCCTAGGAGGCTAGGAAATGAAACTCTGGTTGATCTGAAGAGTAATCCTTACTGCCACTGACTTGAAAGAGTGAAGAATTAAGGGCAAAATAAATCCAAGCCCCGAGTTACACCTAACGGCAAAATGCAGTGTGCCCAGTTCCCCACAGTATACACCTGGTAAATTCTGTATGCTATTCGGATGCTGGAGTCCTATAAACCTATCCATCCCACCTTGCCATGAATGCTTCTCACTTGGCATCCCTGGCATAGAATGTGCTCTAGCATAAGGGGACTGTCGGTTTTTCAAAGGAAGGGAACAAAAGGCACCAGAGGTGCTTAGGAATTGCTGGGGAGGCCATGGAGACCACCGAGGAACTGATGCGCAACGGAGTGTTCCAAGCCCTAGGCACCTACCCCGTCCCCACTCCAGATCCATGAGGCATAATGAATAGGCAGCAGTGCCCCCCTACCCACTAGTTACCCCAACACAGGTTCTAGGGAGCAGCACAGTGGTAGGGGACAGGGGATGGGGGAGGAAGAGAAGTAACGCTCTTACTGAGGAGTAAGTGGAGGAGGCACTGGAGGCCAGGGACAGCACTGAGCCATGAACTGAAAGAGAAGCAAAACACAGGGTTAACAGAGGGCTCCAGGCCCGAGGGGGTTCCAGGGCGGAGCCTTAAGGCAGGAGTTTGGATTCTGATTCTGGAGGGTATCTGAAGCAAACAGGCCAGTTATCACAACAGCCCAGAGCAGGCAGGTGTCTGCTGAGGAGGCGAGGTCCTGAGCTAGCTTCCTCCCGTGGTCTACATTTTCTGGCAGCCTGGGGATGGCGGGCCCTTGCTCAACCTGCTCCGAGGGGCATGGGGGTACAGAGGAAGGGAAAGGACATATTCATGGATAGGCATCATCTTATCTTCCCAGTCAGGAAAGTACTTAAGCTGCGGTAGAGGGGAGTTTCTCATTAAGAGCTGCTCAGGACAAATAGTGCAATTCTGCTTGCGCCTCCTCTTCTCGGCTCTGGGGACCATTCAGATGAAAAATGTACTGAAGTGTAAAATACTCGTTCTGATGATTCAATAGCCCTACTGACAGACCTACAGCAGCTTTTGCAAGGATGCCTCCAGGCTGAGCATCTCGCAAATAACAACCAGAAGTCTGCTCTCCGGTAAAGCCCCTGTCTTCCAGGCTCTGACCATGAACACCCAGATCACCACAAACAGCCATAGGGCCCTCCCTGAAGCTAAACTTCGGAACGTTGTGTTTTTTTTTTTTTTTTTAAGTAGGCTTCACGCCCAGCACAGAGCCCAAAGTGAGGCTTGAACTCATAACCCTGAGATCAAGACCTGAGCTGAGATCAAGAGTCAGACGCTCAACCAACTGAGCCACTCAGGTGCCCCGTGGGACATTCTTGAAAGAGGAATGAGACGCCGAGTTCTTCCTCAGGATTTAAGAGCTATCATTATGCCCCTTGATCTTTTCACATATTCTGAGAGATCGTGGGGGAGGAAAGACCACTGCTGGAACGAGGAGGGGAGGAGCTGCAGTTTTCCGAGCACTCTGAGGGGTACCGTGTAACCCTTCCACGCTCATTTCCCTCCCCCAACCCCAACGGCAGACGGTCCATCCCAAAGCCCCAGTGCCAGACGGTGCCACCCAAGGTTTCCGGGCCCCCAGACCCTTCAAAGGGATGGGAAGAAAGAACTGAAATGGCCCGAACTCGATGTTCTGTGAATCATGTACGTGTGTGTGGTGGTGGTAGTGGTGGTAGTGGAGGCAGTGGAGGCGGTGGCGGGTGAGGGAGCCCAGCAGAGCTGGAATGAGCGTGAACCGCGCTGGCATGAAGTCTCACCGTCGTCCGTGGGGTCTCGGAAGGATCCTGACCGAATCATCCCCTTGGGTCTCTCGGCCAGGGACAGGGTGCTCCCCATTTGGGAGCCGCTGTACAGCTCGAAGGCCGCCTCGTGGGTGGGGATGCTGTTGGAGCGGGTGATTCTTGGCGTGGTGGCCGCAGTGGGACTCACTGGAAGGACAGAGGGGAGGGGACAGGAGAGGGAGGGGAGGGCAGGAGAAGAGGCAGGGTCATCAGCTCTCTGGGTCCCTTGGGAAATGGAGCACCAGGAGCATGGGAGGCAAATGGTAGGAGGGCAGGAGAGGGAGGGGTGGGGCGGGGCAGTGGGAGTGTGCAGGCAGCTGGGGGTTAGGGGTGGGGTCTCTCCTGGGGAGATCGAGCCCTAACAGAGAAGGGCCCTGCTGTTGGGGAAATAAAGGGCGAACAGCGTTTTCCTATTTTAAAGATCATCCCTCAGCCCTGCCTGCCCGGGAACTTTTCTGAAAGCCCGTCGCTTTTCTGAAACCTTCACATCACTTGAATGTGCCGATGAAAATGGGATGTCGTGGTTCCGTCAAATACACCTGGCAGCTCGGGAGGCCTAAGAATTCAGACCAAGACTCAGATCTGAATGATGACAAAGAGCTAGAGAAGGGGGCCAGGCCGTGGGCTCCGATGGGTTCAGCATTGTGGGAGGGGATGAGACTCTCCGCACAAGCCGTGTCATCCTAGGCCACTGGTCGGTTCTGACGCGGCAAGAAACACAGCCCTCTCTTCCTGGCTGGAAGGGCAGATGGACGGAGCTCAGGTGAGTCTCCTAGAATCTGCTTTGAAGCTGGGCTCCAGTGAATCCCTGCTGACCTGCAGAAACTGCTCTCCTTTGTCCCCCCGCCCAACGGGGTTACAGCCTTCCGGGGTTCACTCCCACATGCAGCTCCCCTTGGCTACTCTTTGGCCTCCACACAGGCAGCTGGATGTCTAGTGTCTCCATAAAGACCTGTGTGGAAGATTTCGCACCTCTCTCGGCCCTTTCGAATATGTAAGGCGATCACGGTTTAGCCCAGCCCCTTCATCCTGCAGCATTAATGCACGTCCTCTTCTTCGGTCCTCAGTGGAGACGGAGGGCCCCGTCCTCCATTTGATGGCCCTTCAGCAACCAGATGACCTTTCCTTAAGAATCATTCCCTTCTCTAGGCAAAACGATCTTAATTCCTAGTTCTCCCTCAAACTGCCCGCAGCCGTCCCACAGGCATGTTCCAGGTCCTCTTTTGCCCTTCCTGCTTTCCTTCACTCAGCTGAGAGAGGAGGAGGCGGATCTAGAAAGAGCAAACGACAGGCCTGTCCCAGGCTCGTTCTAAAGGGGTTCCCACTGAGCCAATCACGGGACGCTGCTTCCCAGAGGCAGGGCTGTGCCGGGGCCAGGCCTCCACCTGGGGCTCCTTTCCCTCCCTGCCTCTGAATCAGCAGTCTCTTCCTTCCTGCCTCGCTTTCTTTTCTCCTTAGGCTTTAGAAAGGGTGTAGCCAGGACACGTCTCCACCAGCTCTGCCTTCAGGGCTAGGCCGGTCCTGGTTCAGCCGCAGCAGCAGCCGGGGAGCCTGCACTTTTCTGGGTTTGGAGGCAGATTCCATCGTTAACAATCAACTGTCCCTTCCTTCCTCTCGGCCAGCCCAGCGTTTTAGTGTTGCCGCCCTGAGCGTGGGTGTTCCTTTCTGGCGATGACTTCCCGCTCCTTGCACTAGTTTGATCTCCCGGCCTTGGTTTATGGCTTTTCCACGCCATCATTCAGACTCTCTGATGCTATAAAGGCCCCTACAGCTTGTGCCCAGGGGCAACTTTTCAGTTTAGGATCTTGGAGCACTTTGCCTTCAGTCTGCTTTTGGATGGATAGATAAACTGAGGCACCACGAAGCAACCCAGTACAGTGGGGGTCAAATACGAGACGATCCCTAAAGTCCAGCTGCCTTGCCTCGCACTGCAGGGTGACCCCTGCTTCATCCCATGCCACAGTGAGTGACCAGAAACACTGACCTATGTTGGTAAGCTGGCCCTTTGCACTCAAGGACATGGAGAGTGCAGGGGGGGAAGGCAGCTCTGACTGGTCGTCGGATTCGGGCAGCCCACCAATGGTGTGGGAGTGTCGCCTCTCCTTGGTCTCCTCCTGGGACTGAAGCTGGTACCTGTAGGACGCATAGCAGAAGAACACAGTCTGGGCAACCGCAGAGCGGTGTCAGAGGGTTAGCTGGTGTGGAGGTTCTGGACGCAGGACAAGGAAAAGGGCGAGCAGACAGAGCTGCCTGAGTGAGGGAACAAGAGCTGTGCTGACTCGACCTCTCCTCCCACACCCTTAAAAGAGTTCTAGGGACCAGCAGGTATCTCTATGGGACACCCTGAGGTGAGGACTGACATGATGGAGGGGGCATAAGAGCCTTTTCCCTGGAGCTCAGGACAGAGCTTTCCAGAGCAGGAGGCACCTAGCTGAAGAACTCAGGGCTGCAGTATTGGTGGAGGACTGGGGTGTCCTGCTCTCCCCCATCACAGTGACCCCAGAGCCGGCCTGTCCTCCCACCAACTTTGAGGGAGAAAAATTACAAAGAGGAAGTTTAGTCAGGATCAGGATCACACAGGCTGGGACAGGTAGATGTAGGATTCCCATGTGCCAACCTGCTTCCCCTCTGTCACCAAAAAAGAACTCTGGCTATAAAGCTGACTCCCACGTAGTACCGAGCTTGGGTAGGGCACTGGGAGGCATAGGCACCGGCACCACATACAAAGAAATCAGCTAGAAGGGCCACTAAATTCACAACCGGGACTCAGGATGGGTTAAGTTACAGTTTTTCATAAAGACCAGGCTCCGCAGATACAGGGGAGGAAAAACACACTTGAGGGTTACCTGAGCCCTTTCTTGTTCCGATCCCGCTGATTACTGTGCAGAAAAAAAAAAGAGAGAGAGAAGCATGTGGGTCCATCTCAGAAACTAGAATTTAGGACCACAGGTTTGCAGGATGCGATACCTAACACAGGCCATCAAACTGTGAACCCCTTTATCTCTATAAACAAATTAAGAAGGCAGCTGTATTCTGCCTCTGGGCTTACAACTTGAGAAAGTCACTTGAAATATTGAGTGTTTTTTTCCACTTAGGGATCAGGATATGGTTAGCTCCCCTAAAATATCAAGTTAGGGTGTGATATAATAGACATTGGTCTGGCCTAAAAAGTAAAAGCTTTGGATGACAGCTTAAACTACTTAGGAAAGCTTGGAAAAGTCATTTAATGTCTGTGCACTAGTGTCCCCAGCATACAATGCTCCCAGTGATAATAATAATAACTTAAGAGCATAGTAATTTAAAACTCCTACTTATCTCCTGGAGTTGTTGCGAAGCAAATGAGGTTCCTTAATGTACTTGAAAAAATTTTCAAAGTCACAAAGTGGCAATGAAATACCGGGCATTGTTGCTAATGGTGAAATAACCCAGAGATACAGGGACAGACCCAGGTTCAGCTGTATCTCTCTCTACCCACCTACCTGTCCAATTGCCCAGTTCTGGGGCTGCCGCTCCAGGTCAACTCTTCTGTCTCTTCCTCTGGGGGTGCAGCAGGGGGGGCTGGAGGGGTGGGAACAGGGGTGCTGCTGGGGAAGGCACTGGGCAGGCTCATTGGCATCTGGAGGGACTCCATGCTCCTGTGCAGGCCTGAGAGTTTAGAGTACATGCGGGTCTCTTTGGGGACACTGAAACCACTCATTAGCTCCAGGCCCTGGGAGAAGCTGGCTGAGTTAATATTGAGAATGGGTGCTGGACTAGGGGTGAAGCAAGAAGGGAGAGGGCTCCCGGTTGCCGAGCTCGCAGGATGCAGATCTGGGACCTTCGAAGCGTGGGCATCACTCGATGATGGCAGGTCCAGACTGTTGGAGTTGACCTTGTCTAGGTTGGCTAGTGAGGGTGGCTTGACAAAGCTCTTAGCTGTGGCCCTGAGGGAAGTAAAAATTAAATAAAGTATTTAGAATAACAGACTTCCAGAAGAAGGAGGCGGTCTGAATGAGGGGGATAGCACATGCACGTGGGAAACACACAAATGGATTTACATAGAAAGATACGTGTAAGTAAACACAGAAAAACTACTCATACAAGCGCTGAAGATAGGCTAAGGGTTGATCAGGGAATACTATAAAGGAGGTGAGTTTTGAAAGAGGGAGAAGGAACTTGGCACACAAGGGAGTGGAGGGGAAAGAGCCATGCAAAGGTCCAGGGGAGACAGTGGGTAGGCCATGCCTCACTTAGTCTAAGGAGTACAGGGATATGTTAAAGAGCGAGCGGAGAGGCAAAGGAGAAGCTGCCCAGTCCAGGTACCTGAGAGGGGTTGGTGGCAGCTCTGCCATCTTGGTGGCTGGGGGGTGGCTGGCTTGGTTCTTAGGAGTACTCTCTGGGGAGCCAATACTCTTCAGGGAGATATTGTCCGAGTCCAAGGCCACTGCCTTGGCTTTGGCCTTCTCCTTTTCCCGATCTGTCTGATTGACAGGGGCTGGAGTGGTCCGCCCACTGGCCACCTTGGAAGGCTCCTTCAGTCTGGAGGGTGTAAGGCCCCCCTGCTTGGTGCTAAGGAGGCTAGGGTCAATGCTGCTGCTAACAGGGCGAGGTCCGCCCCGCCCACCGGTCACGCTCATAGAACTGGACTTGGCTGGCCGGGGCAGGCTTCGGTACTGGATGTTGGAACGGGCGCCAGGAGCCAGGAATCCAGGCTCTGCACTGTTGGACACATCTAGGCTAGTCTTGCGTCCATTCACGGGCTTGACAGGGATTCCTGAGGACTTCTGGATCTTACTGAGAGTGGCTGAACCACCAGTCTGCATGACAGTGGCGGTGCCCGTGGCAGGAGGAGGCTTCTTGTAGCCAAAAGATCCCGAAGTGGAGGGGCGAGCAATGCCCGAAGGAGGCTTCTTAGCATCACTCAGGCGATCCCGGCCGGCGTCAGAAGAGGAGCGCTGTAGCCCAGTGTTCTTCACAGCAAGTTTTCCCTTGTCCGTAGCTTTGCCTTCCGGTTTGCCTGTAACGGGGCAGGAGATGAGGTAAGAGTGGCTGAAACTGACCAATAGCAAGGCAATATCCTGGCAAATCCTTTTCTTTCCCTCCATGGGAAAAAGACACATTGTCAACGTACTATAGGATTTTAGAGACCTCAACACAGGTGAGCTGTGATGTAAGGTACTATGTAAGCTGATGACGTTTCTTGCCAGAGGAAGGAGACTGCGTAGGAGTGGCCTCGGGTTTTTCTGTTTGTTTGTTTGGTTTGCTTTTTGTTATCTTTTGCTTCTAGAGTAGGGTATGCCAGGGGGTGCCTGGGTGCCTCAGTCGGTTAAGCTGACTCTTGATTTCGGCTCAGATCATGGTTTCACGGTTCTTGGGATCAAGCCTCGTGTTGGGCTTTGTGCTGACGGTATGGAATCTGCTTGGTATTCTTTCTCTCCCCTTCTCTCTACCCCTCCTCTGCGTGTTCATATGAGTGTGCCTGCTCTCTTTCTCAAAATAAATAAACTTAAAAATGAAACCCACTCCCATTAGAGTAGGATATTCCATTTTGGTTAAAATGGCAGAGGCCACCACAGAGGTTAAGAAACAAGCACATCTAACATCTGGTCAAGAAAGGACAAAAAAAATGAGGGGGCTGCAAACAGACGAGAGAATGGCCCTACCTCCTGGTAAGTAAGGCTGGAGGGAAATGTCAATAAAGGCGAAAAGTTACCCAAGGGGCCAAATTTGGGAGCAATACAATTCTGATTTGTTGTTTTCTTGGGACCTCACTGGGATGCCAAGCAAATACTTTGCAAAGAAGTACACCAGCCAAATATCTTGGGAGAGGAAAGAAAAAAAACCAATGCAAAGTATCTGAAGGCAGGTCGAACTAGTCTCTGAACAGAACATCCTTCCACCTCTCCCTCTTATTAGCTGTATGATTTTGGCTCTGCCCTGAACCCCTTTTTGTTTTTATTTCTGTATTCATAAAATGGAAATAGTAATACCCATCTTCCCTAACTCACAGGACTGTTGTGAAGACCAGATAATATACATCAAAGCACTCTGTAAATGTCCGCTACCATCCTGTGGGTTAATGACCTTAAGAAGAGGAGCAACCAAAGAAAGAGGGCTTTGCCCTCGTCCCTTCCTTTATTCCAGGCTCACCTGCAACTTTGAGGGCACTCTGGGCTGTGTGAGTGATGGGGGAAGTGACAGCCACTGGTGGGGTCTTGCCTTTCTTCAGGGAACCAGGGTGTCCCAGGCTGACAGGCTTTTTCAGCTCTCCAACCTTGGATGAATCATCACAGCTTTCGGGCCGCTCCCTCCGCCACTTAGAAGTCCCAGGTTCCATCTTCAGGCTGCCACTGTCGTACTCCAGCTTTTTGGGGGCCTTCTCCTCTGATTCACTAAACCAGCTCAGCCCACTTTCTGCCAGCGAGCGCTTCTCTGAGTCTGTGCGGAGCTGAAGAAGAGAACAGAAAAAGCCGAGTGAGACACTCACTTGCGGGTGGAAAAGAGGAGGTCGGGGGCGGGTGGTTATTTTGGTCACTGGGCAGCCCTGCTCTTTCCACAGTATTGTCAACCCAGGGTTTTGACCTACATCTCTCGTGCTCCAGAGAAAAGACATCCTATGTGTCTCAGGGATTCTTTTTCTTCTCTGGTTGGAAAAGCTCTTAAACGTATCCCTCCACGGAGGCATCGGCACTAACACAGGTGCTAAGACCACAGGTCATATCTTAGGTGACTGCTTGGTAGCCTCAGGTTTCCTTTGGACAGCTCTGAGAGGACTCGGACCCAATCCCATGGAGTGGGTGAGTGTATGTGCGAATGTGTACCCAGGCATTGCCGTCTGCCCTGTGGTTCATCTCGAGATAGCGGCCCAGGTGTCGATAAGCACACGTACCACTATTGTAGAGTTCCTGCGAGAAGCAGTGGGAGTAGTTGGGAGAGAGTTGAGGGAGGAGCTGGCATTGAACTCTTCTGAGCTGAGGTTGTCCGAGGCATCACTGAGCCCACTGCTGATGGAGCTGCTTTCATCCCAGCTGCAGGACAGGAGACCAAGGTGAGCAGTTAAAACAGAAGCCAAGGCAACGAATACACTTTTCATATTGATGGAAGAAATGGCTGTATTCCAGTATAGAGACTGGCCAAGAGTAGAAAGCCTGAGGTTAGTCCTGGGTTTGCCAGTAACTTGAAGTATACTTTGGCGATGTTCTCTTAGGAAGGCACTCTGTCTTTATCTGGCAAAGGAAGATGCTATATCTCCGTAACAGAAAGGTATACTGTAAAGACACAGATGAATTATACAAACCAATCTCCTCTCCCTATCAATGTCTTTCATTCTTATAATGACCATATCTCTGTTCATTTCTGGAAGTGTTCTCCAGGTATTTTCCCTCTCTTTTCTAAATGTTTCCATACCTGGTAACAAGGGCCAGAAAAAGATTTATCTTTTCGAGGACCCCTTAGACCTATCATTTCTCATCGCTCCTCTGCTTATACAGTTTCCCAATCTTGGGATCGGGTTTTGCTTCTAAGCAGCATGTACCACTCTGCTGATAAATGAACTGCACTTAAGGTGCTGTGGCCAAGCAGAAGCACCGAAATTTGTGCTGAATGGTTTCATCCTTCTGCCAATTGCTCGGAATATCGGATTTGTGGCAGCTGAGAGAGACTGTTGCTGAACCTCTGTATATCTGCTTGTCTTTCTCTATAGAACCCTAGTCCATATACTAAGTGAAATTAATATAGGCTTTATCTCTTTGGAGCTTGGATTCTACAATATCCCCTTGGCTGTTCATTTTTGTGTGTAACAACTTCTGCAGTTAGAAAGTAAATTCTTCCCCTGTAAACTAAATAGCTTCCTCTACCATTGATACCAACTTCCTTTCGTTGTCTCCTTATTTGCTATTCCCAAGCTTCTTTTTTTTTTTGTTTATTATTTTGAGAGAAACAGAGACAGCATGAGTAGGGAAAGAGCAGAGAGATAAGGAGAGAGAGAATCCCAAGCAGGCTCCGCGCTGCCAGCACAGAGCCCCATGCAAGGCTGGAACTCATGAAACTGTGAGATCATGACCTGAGCTGAAACCAAGAACTGGGCGCTCAACGGAATGAGCCACCCAGGCAACCCCCCCTCCCCAAGTTTCTTCTTGATCACACATTATTTTCTGAGTTCAAAATCTGTCTCCTACAACCTTTCTTCAAAGGTCCTGTTTTCTAAGCCTTTCACCTCTTCCTTCTGGATCCTAAAAAGTCCTTCTGATTTCACTCAAGTTTTAAAGCCAAAAATTAAACATGGATTCAGGAAGACTGCAATAGGAGAGCATCTGTTTGTGCCTGTAGGGATCATTCTCTAAATCCTTGCATTTGTGTTCACAGGTTTGTTTATCAGCTTTGCGTGTGTAAAGGACTAAGAGACTGAAGATGTGTGGACTAAGAGACTGAAGATGTGTTTTTGTGAATTAGCTGGTATCTGGAAAATTTTTCCCTTTTTCCTTAGTTTGAGTTTCAGATCGTGGAAAAAAAAATCAGACGTACAAGTCATCTAAGTTCTTGGCCCAGATTTCAGCTGGCCTCCCTCTAATTTATTTGCTGGGAATAGGAAAGTGGGTGGTTTGGACATTTGGCTTGGTTGCTCTGTAGTGATTAATCCAAATACATTGAGAAAGAGCAAAGAAAGAATGGGGATTAGAACACACTACAGAGTGACTTCAGTTTTATTACTATGAAATGTAGCCATTATTAAAACAAGCAACCTCTTTTTTTCTCCACTTATGACATATATTAATCCCACGTTTATCTTGGGCTAAGATATCACAGCCCCCATTTCATAGAGAAAGAATACTGAGGAGGAAAGATCAATTCTGGCTTTCTGATCCTATCAGCTCTTCTGAGTCAAGATAAGATCTCTGGCAAGCAAACAAACAAACTATTCACTGCATGTTCTCCTGGGTCAAAGACAGAGGAAGCCTGTGGTACTGAAACCTTGCATCTGAAATTAATTATTGGTAAAGAAGGTCTTGGAGTGGAGAAAATTCTTATGGAAGGGCTCTTGCAAAAAAGAGTAGGGCTGCTACGGTCCACTAGTCTAAAAGAAACCCTTCCTTTGCCCTACATTTATGGAAAGCCTAATACTAAAAATAAAGAAGGGAAGTGTATCTTCTCAGAGAGGATTCAAGTCCTCCTTGCCCGAAGACATTCCTCCCAACTCACACTCCTTTCCTTTTTTTTTTTTTTTAAATGTTTTATTTATTTCTGAGAGAGGGAGAGACAGTGTGAGCAGGGGAGGGTCAGAGAGAGAGGGAGACAGAATCTGAAACAGGCTCCAGGCTCTGAGCTGTCAGCACAGAGCCCAACGTGGGGCTCGAACCCACGAACCCCGAAATCATGACCTGAGCCAAAGTCAGACGCTTAACTGACTGAGCCACCCAGGCGTCCCTCCTTTTTTTTTTTTTTAAAGTTTATTTATTTTGAGAGAGAGACAGTGTGAGTGGGGGAGAGGCAGGAGAGAGGGAGATTCCCAAGCAGGCTCTGTGATGTCAGCACAGAGCTGGATGCAGGGCTTGAACTCATGAACAGTGAGATCATGACCTGAGCTGAAATCAAGAGTTGAATGCTTAACTAACTGAGCCATCCAGGCACCCCTCCCTTTTATTTTTAAAGTAACCACTGTTGGGGTGCCTGGGTGGCTCAGTTGGTTGGGTGTCCGACTTCGGCTCAGGTCATGATCTCGCGGTTCGTGGGTTCAAGCCCTGCGTTGGGCTCTTTGCTGACAGCTAGCTCGGAGCCTGGAGCCTGTTTCAGATTCTGTCTCCCTCTCTCTCTGACCCTCCCCTGTTCACGCTGTCTCTCTCTCTCTCAGAAGTAAATAAGACATTTAAAAAAATAATAAAGTAACCATCGTGAACAGTTTTTTGTGCTTCTCTCAAGACCATCCCTATACCAGGCACGTGGGTGGCTCAGTGGGTTAAGTGTCTGACTTCAGATCAGGTCATGATATCAAGGTTCATGGGATCGAGCCCCACATTGGGCTCTATGCTAGCAGTGTGGTGCCCTCTTGGGATTCTCTTTTTCTCTGCCCCTCCTCTGCTTATGGTCTCTCTCTTTCAAAATAAATAAACATAAAAAAAAAAAGAATATCCCTATGCTTCTGTCTTCTAGCTGCTTGCTCTCTGGATCTGCTGAATAGCCGACATTAGGGGACCACCCTTCATCATCCTGGTTCTCTTTACGAGGTTCTTTTTAAAAATTCTTTTTATTAAATTTTTAAAATGTGTATCTTTGAGAGAAAGACCAAGCACAGGTCGGGGAATGGCAGAGAGAGAGGGAGACACAAAATCCAAAGTAAGCTCCAAGCTCTGAGCTGTCAGCACAGAGCCAGACACGGGGCTCGAACTCAAGAACCTTGAGATCATGACCTGAGCGAAAGTTGGTGGCTTAGCTGACTGAGCTACCCAGATACCGTCTTTACAAGGCTGTTAAGCTAGAACCTCAGTCTTTCTCTAGTTGGTTTAGTTTCTTGTTTTAGCAAAATACCTCTTCTAGTAGGTTTCAGTAGATGGTTGAGAAGCAAACTTGGTAAGATCTGACACAGTATAAAATATCTTTATTCTATTTTTACATGTGAAATTTTGGCCAGCCATAGAATACTAAACTGAAAGTAATCTCAGGATTTAAAGGCACTGCTCCATTGTCTGGCCTCTATTACTGCCATTTTAATTCCTTGTCCTTAAAATGTGACCTATTTCTTTCTGGGAAGTTTTAGTACCTTCCCTGGTATTCTAAAATATCAGTAATGACACGCCTTGGTGTGGGCTCATTTTTATCCATTGAGTTAGATACCTTACTGGGCCCTTATAATCCAGAAACTTTCATGAATCTTTGAGGACTTTCTCCTCTCCATTTTTAGTTCTCTCTTCTAGAATGTCTATTATTCAGATGATATGTTTTGAGGCTGATACTCTGATTTTTTCTTTCTTATTTTCCGGCACTATATTTTATTTTTTTATTTATTTATTTATTTTTTTAATGTTTTATTTATTTCTAGGAGAGAGAGAGAGAGAGACAGCGTGAGCAGGGGAGGGTCAGAGAGAGGGACTCACAGACTGAAACAGGCTTCAGGCTCTGGGCTGGCAGTCAGCACAGAGCCCGACGCGGGGCTCGAACCCACGAACCGCGAGATCATGACCTGAGCAAAAGTCGGACGCTTAACCGACTAAGCCACCCAGGCGCCCCTATATTTTATTTTTTAACTCTACTTTTTGGTCTCAATTTTGTCTTCAGTTTCCTTCATTAAAATGTTCATTTCTGCTATCATATTTAAAATCTTGAGAATACTTTAAAAATAGTATATCATTCTTTCTTTCAAGGATGCAATCACTTGTTTTAGCTCTCAAAGATACTCATTCACCAATTTATTAGGAAGAGCAGATTTATAATCTCTGTATAGTTTCTGGTTCCAAGTAGCTTCTTTCTGTTTGTATTGGTGGGACTTTCAGGTTACAGACCCTTCTTAGTTGTCAGATGATCCTTGGCTGTTTGCTTATAGGTAAAAACGGAACACTCATTATTAATAATTTGGTGGGGATGGGGGGGGCGCCTGGGTGGCTCAGTTGGTTAAGTGTCCAACTCTTGATTTTGGCTCAGATCATGATCTCATGGTTCATGGGATTGAATCCTCCATATGGCTCCATGTTGGCAGCATGGGAGCCTGCTTGGGATTTCTCTCTTTCTCTCTCTGCCCCTTCCCCACTCACAAGCACACACATGTGCTCTCTCTCAAAATAAATAAACTTTTTTTTTTTTAATTAAAAAAACTGGTGCGCCTGGGTGGTGCAGTCGGTTAAACTCCACTCTTGATCTCCGCTCAGGTCATGATTTCACAGTTCCAGAGTTTGAGCCCCATATCAGGTTCTTTGCTGATGGCATGGAGCCTGCTTGGGATTCTCTCTTTCTCTCTGCTCCTCCCCGCTTGTGTTCTCTCTCTCTCTCTCTCCCTCCCCATATAAATAAATAAACTTAAAAAAATTACTTATTTATTTTT